TGTTCTGGTTCAGATCAGAAAAGAGTCAAGAGGGGAATAGTCACCTTTTTGCTATTGGAAATCAAAGCATATGCCCTGAGGTGTCAGTATTCCAAATTTGAAGCGATTCGGACCAACCGTTGCAGTCATATGACCGTTTGAAATTTGAAAATATTTGAAAAATTTGTACACATCGATGTTCGTACACTAAAAAGTTGAAAAAAATTGTACACATCGCGATGCTCGTGCACTACAACGAGCTGTCAAGATTGTGGCCGTGGAGTTTGGGAGTTTTGAAGCGCTTTTACTTCCAAATTTTGTTGCCATGGCAGCAGTGACCCGTGCCACGTGCAAAAAAAGTGCAAAAAATTCTTTCCCAAAGGATTTCTTTGCTGTTGCAGTTTCGAGCGCGATGCACAATGGGGAACAAGAAGAGCAGGTCGTGCAAGCGTCCTGCAAAGAGAAGATTCTCACTGCACGCAGCACCTGTCCAGGAAGCTACTGAGGGAGTGTATGAAGCTGAAGCAGTGCCAGAGTCCGCCTCGAAGCGCAAGTTGTACGATGGCGTTCCAAAAATAAGAATACAGTGATCATAATAAAAATTAATGGATTCAACTGAGCGATAGTGAGTCGGATTCGGAGGAGAGCTTTGATGGATGTGCGCTGGCCTCGAACTCAGATAGTTGCTCCCTCGAGTGATTCCTCGTTCTCTGAAGACTGTCATGGCCCAATCGCTGAAAGTTGTGATTCAGACGCCACTGGACTTGAATTGTTTACGAAATTTGATTTTCTCTGCTTGCTCGTGTAAAATACTGTGGAGGTGAGCTGACCATTGCTGAAACTGCACGTTCTGGCCTTGCATCCACTGTCAGAATCACATGCTGCAATGAAGAGCCAGTGTTCAGCAGGCACCAGCCTGCCAGTGGTGGAGAAGTCACGACAGTTTTATAAGTGCAATCGCCGCAGTGTTCTGGCATTGCGCACGCTGGGAATTGGCCATGTTGGCTGGCAAATTTTTTGCGGCCTCATGAATTTGCCCCACCTGTTCAGCTATCTGCATTCCAGCGGCACCAGCGAGCATTGTGCAAGGCGGCAAGGTCAGGTGCGCAAATCAGCATGAACGAAGCAGCAGATGAACAAGACAATGGACAGGCCTAAGCATATAACTGCTGTCACCTATGATGGTACGTGAATGAAGCGTGGGTTTTCCTCCCTACACGGTGCGTTTACGGCAATTGACTGGCAAGTCGGGAAGGTCCTTGATGTGCATCTAGCTTCCAAGTACTGCCATGGCTTCAGCTTGTGGAAAGCTTGCCAGGCGCATAGTGAAGTCACAGCTGACGAGTATGAGAAGTGGAAGTCGGGCCATATCCCTCTCTGCAACCGCACCTGGCGTTTTTGCAGAACGCCAGCTCATGTTGGATAGTATTAGAGTGGCCAAGGCTGAGAAGAAGATGAAGCAGGAGGAAAAACAGCGAAGGAAACAAAGGAGGAGGTGCAGGAAGGGAATTGAGGAGCAGATTGTGGAAGCTGAGGGTGTCACATACGAGGCTGGTGGGTTTTAGTTGGAACAATAGTCTTAGAATCTATGAAAAGGACACCTAAATGTTTGTGCTTTTTGGCCTTTTTCTGCCTTCTTGGACATGATTGCGGCTAGTGTGTTTATTTTAGACCTATCAACCCATACATTTTTGGAATCAGTGACTTGTTGCGCAGGGATTGAACTACAATGGTGATCATAGGACCTTTTACATTGGATTTTGAGCTCCCACAGTGCCTTCTATTTTACGCGTTTTGCGGCTCGTCCTGATTTGTCTCTGCATTTGGGGTAGTAATACCTGTCAGATAGAGTTCATTGTAGTTCATTCCCTGCATAGGCATATGGACTGGGTTTTGCTGCATTTTGGAACTGTCTGTGTTGATACATCTTGCTGCAAAGTTGTCCAAAAAAATTGCTGTTTGTGCGCACCCGTGAAGAATTTGTGTAGCCCATCAAGCATTACTGGGATGAACTGTAAATTCTCTTTTTGGTGCCTACATTGTGGAGCAGTATATAGTGATTGAACATAGAAAATTTGAAGGCAATCTGCCAATCCGTTTTCATGATATGCCTATTTCAATTGTATGCGGTCTGATTTGGGCCGCGAATGGTGGTGTCCCCCCTTAAAGGGGAAGTTAAGGCAAAAATTAAAATTTCACCAGTTGTAGTCTTTGGGGTGCTGAGTCGAATGGTCGTGGTCCGAGGAAGCTGAGACGCTCCCTTCCTACTTGAATCCCAATCGAACTCGCGCACTTCCACCGAAACTGGGTGACTGCGCCCTACTAGATGGGGATTTGTATGCAAAATGTCACTAAAAGCGCCATTTCGTTCTTATAAAAGCACGGATGACCGCGATTGGCCCATGTGTTGTAGTCTTTTGGACGCTGAGTCGACTGGTTTTGGTCCGAAAAGGCTGCGATGCGGCGTTCCTCCTTTATTCCCAATCGAACATGGTTGAAGAAGCGGTCACGTGCTCCTGCGTACACCAGTCACCTGGTCACCGTGCCTGCAGGGTACAACTTACTAGCCTGTTTGACCTTTTTGGGTGCAGTCCTGTCACTCGAGTTGAACCCGAGTTGAACCTTGGTGTGAAAGTTGTCACCTGCTGGCGTGGTGACCAGGTGATTTGGGCACCCAGGACCACGTGACCGCTTCTTCAACCATGTTCGATTGGGAATAAAGGAGGAACGCTTCATCGCAGCCTTTTCGAACCAAAACCAGTCGACTCAGTGTCCCAAAGACTACAACATATGGGCCAATCGCGGTCATCCGTGCTTTTATAAGAACGAAATGGCGCTTTTAGTGACATTTTGCATACAAATCCCCATCTAGTAGGGCGCAGTCACCCAGTTTCGGTGGAAGTGCGCGAGTTCGATTGGGATTCAAGTAGGAAGGGAGCGTCTCAGCTTCCTCGGACCAAGACCATTCGACTCAGCACCCCGAAGACTACAACTGGTGAAATTTTAATTTTTGCCTTAACTTCCCCTTTAAGCGACCACCCCACGGTGCAAGGAAAAGCGGTCGTTAAAGCCAGGTAGGTGGTCTTTAGAACCAGGTCCCACAGTATCTGTGTAGAACTGTCCGTGCATGGAAAACTTTTTAGCCAATGCTGCAGTACAGGGAAACTGAGTAGCCTGGGAGTTGTGAGCTTACAACTGATGTCCACACTGCACAGCGAGAGCCGGGCAGAACACAATTCAGCAGTCTTGATTTTGTTTACCCCAACACATGTGCATTTATTCACAGTCATTCAAGAGAAACCAGAAAGGAATGCATACAAGTACTTTTATATTTCCCAGACTATCATATGCTGCAGCCGATTTTGAATTTATGACGTTCTTTACGATCCTTTTACCCACAATTTTCACTTCGGTTACGAGCATTAAAGTGCAGGACGACCATTCAAGCTGGCATTGTTTGCTCAAATAACGGACAGTGCTGAAAGCATTTTCAGTAAAATAAACGAGCATTAGCAGCCGATGCCTACATGTAAACCAGTCAATTTTTGGAAATCGTTCTACAGTCGACCTACCCTTATAACGATAACCTCTATAAGTAACGATATTACCCTTATAACGATACTTCTCTGCCAAACCAAATCATGACGTTTGTGTATGAAATGAACCAGTTACCCTTATAACAATATTTCTTGGTCTGACACAAATATCGTTATAAGGGTAGGTCGACTGTAATTATATGCGCCTCGTTAGAATAATGGCTTCTACAGTACATGTAGTCTGGAGCACTGTTCCTCACAATCAGGGAATGGCACAATTTTCCGACGCCACCGTCAAAATGTTGGTTCGTTTTGGCTGTGGCATGTGTAGAAGGCCCTAGGCCTGTGGGGATTGCCCTATTCAAAATTTAATAATAATAATAATAATGTGTACAAATTATACAGGAAAACCTGTGACTAATGACCACCCCTTGGTGCCAGAGAAAGCGGTCTTTAGTGGCAGGTGGTCCTTAGTTAGAGGTTTGCACCTCGCAACCATACATGTACAATGTATATGAATGTGAGACCGTCTGTGCCTGGCGAAGTGGTCTGTAGTACCAGGCTGGTCGCTAGTCACGGTGGTCTTTAGTTACAGGTTTTACCAAGAGTACATAACCCCCCCAGAGTGTGCAACGCCTGATCCAGCTCTGCATAGGTTCTTGGTCGAGCGGAATCGGATCTTTGCGTCATAATACCGTACACATCTGAGGGGAACCCGGGGAGTCGCGGGTACTCTTGGATCAAAAACAATGGTGCCCTGCCTCGAGACCGGCCTTGCGCGTGTGAAGTGTACGCATGACATCAGAAGATCCGATTCCGCTCGACCAAGACCCTACACAGAGCTGGATCGGCGTTGCACACTCTGGGGGGTTATGTACTCTTGGTTTTACTGTAGATGGCATTATGGACTCAGCAGTACGCAAGCCTTGCTTGATAGTTTAACATCATGACTGCATGCAAGAACTGGTCTCTACGGTCTACCAAACGGTTTAATACTGATTGCAGTCAAGAACACAGTTTTCAACAGTGTTTCCTCCATCAGTGTTGTCATCATACATGTTTATAGGTACTCACTGGCACATGTACATGATAATAATAATAATAATAATAATAATAATAATAATAATAATAATGCTTTGACTCGAACTCGCAAGGTTGATTATTATCTCTTGCACCTTTTACTGGTTTAGGACTTGTGCCCAGTCCTGAAGGTATTGCTCATTGTTTGTGTTTTTTATTGTTTTGCATTTATATTTACACTGCACCCCCCTACCCTTGGCTAGAACCCTGATGCTTGAAGTACATGAACGTCTGGGGAGGAGTATTCCAACAAAAGAAGAAACCAGGGAGTAGTTTGGGTGCGGCTCCCTGAGGGAACACATGGTGCGGAGCCAGGGACCACATCACCATCAAACCACCGCCTCAGACTCAATGGCATGCACCTCCGCTTTGCATATCACGTCACGCCACTCCAGCACCGATAACTCAGAATGTTACTTGTTATCTGCTACATAGCCATGAAACGAGTGACGAAAGTAAGGCAGATACCGAAGGCTACATATAAAGCAAACCCGGCGGTGTCAATGAAACTACAAAAAAATCACGGGCATTAAAATCTAATGATAAATCTATTGCGCGTTCCTAAGAGAAAACAAAACACAAAGTCCAGCTTTGATAAACAGAATAATATGTGCACATAAAAATAGATCCACAAAGGAGAAAGAAAGGAGGCGAATCGAGTGCAGTGCACTTCAAAGTATGTGCACCGACATAGCTCACGAGTGAGAAGCGTGGTAGTGGCTAATGCAAGCGAGTACAAACACGCACACCCACACACACAGTCACCCACACCCACCCACACACATATACACCTTGGACCTTGGAGGACGCGCTGCCATATTCTGGCTATGCGGACACACACACGCACACCCACACACACACACACCCACCCACATTCACCCACACACCCACCCACACACACACCCACACGCACCCATACCCACACACAGACAACCTAAAGTAAATAGCCAGAGAGCACACAGGGAGTCTGAACGAGGTGTTTTAGAGCACAAAAGGAGAACATACCTGCTTACAGCATCAGATGTGCACCACAGAGGCACACGTTCCAACACCATACTTCATCAGTAGCTCACATCAATCAGAAGAGGCTATGGATAATGGCCAGGCCAGCCGATACGAGCAGCATCGGTGCAGTGCTATACTGGCTCGTGTGCAAGTGCGAGGCCGCAGAGAAGGCACTCGCGTTGAACGGCATGCACGATCGCGTGTTGGTCCCGTAGCGGAAGAAGTTCGCCTCGCAGAAGGACTTGCCGGTCGCATAGCGGCTGCTCAGGGACATACCATTGTGCAGGGCACCAGAGCACTCGTTGTACGTTTCATCACAGAAATCTGAGCAGATTGAGGCCTGCACGGTGGGTGGAAAACGGAAAAAAACAAGCAGCACGCTTAGTTGCAACGGGGTTGCGATACAGAGCCAGGAACGAAGAATCTATCAACCACACTGCCGCAGTTTCGTGGGCATCTGTCACGAAATAGTGAAGAACAGTTTTCTGTTAAATGCCGCCTGCTTTCCATTTCTTCACAAGTACACCATGTTTACCTCACACAGACGTCTGATAATTATCGCCGACGTCGGTACCAGTACTTCGAAAATAAAATTTACACCTTAAAAGGCATCAATCTGTCTACAAGGTTTGCTTAGCTGTTCACCAATTTGAAAGCAACTGGCGAATGGTTCGATCTACTCTCATGGTTAAATTGGGGACCCCTTACGCATAAATAAACGAAACTCGGCTCTCTCTCACGCGAACCGTGATTTTTTTAATTTATTTTTACGCAAAAATTTCAAACTACTGGTAAGAAAATCCTACTATAGGAAGTAGTCTAGAAACAACTGCTACATGTACTTCAAGCACACATACACGCAGTCATTCCGCAGCTCAATCTCTAGAACAGAGCGAGAATGGACATCAAATGCCACTCCACTTATGAGTACAGTACTATCGGTCGCCAAAGAACTGGAGGGGGGGGGGGGGGGGGTCAGCCTAATAGCCTAGACCGTTCTTATTTTTGTCTCGAATATCAGTCTATGCACAGTCGAGTCACCGTGTATATATACATTGATATGATGTGCTTGTACAGTTCTAGCCTGGTCATTCCTCGGCAGTACTGTACATGTAGGACTGCTAGTGCTGCGCGGCCAGAGATCACAGTGGGCCCAGTCAACCGTACAACCCAAAGGCGTTCGACAAAGACCTACCTGTCGAGGAACGGTCACCAGGAAAGTGCGCTGGCGCGGATCGCAGAAGTAGCACATCATGTAGTTGACGCGGTTGCGGCACGCCTGCGACGCGCCCTGCAGCGACAGCATCTCAGCGAACACAGCCGACACCTCGGCGCGCTCGCAGCACGAGCTGTACTCGTACCACGTGCAGTTACCAAGGTTTGTCTTCGGCGTTGGCTTACGGTCCGTACCTGAACAAATAGCAGACAAGCACAAAATAAGACGCGGGCTCACACATAAATCTGTAAACACGCCCTAGCCAGTTGATAGCGGGTGCACAAAGATGAAATGCAGGCAAAACAAGTAAAAAAAACCTTTCCTGGACGAAGTGGGTGTTGCACCAAGTTCGACCGGCAAAAAAGTGAACAGAGGACATCACATTGCGTCGTGCACGCGGCCTAGTCGAATCGGCAATAGTGCATCGATACGTTTGGTTATTTATTGGTGTACCGTAAAGCACCGTTGATCCTCCCTCCCCCACGTTAGCGCTTTCCAGCTGGTTTTTCGGCAGGGGGGCGGAAAATAAAATCAAGGCTGTCAAATGCAGTACGATGTACACCGCGGAAGATCAGACTTGGCGTGCTAGATCGTGTACAAGTACATTTTCACACTGCACTGGCACGTGTTGTGTACAGCAGGGTATGCATTGGTTCAACGCCGTATTTCGTCGTATACGGTGAAGTCGCTTCAAAGGCAGACATTTCGACCGGGGGCAGAGACTATATGCATCAGTGGTACTTTACGGTACTGGGACTCAAGGGCAACTTTCTCAATTAGTTCGCACACCGAGTAGTTTCACTAGCTAAGTGCGAGACTGCTGCCTTGTGTAAATCCTGATGGCCTGTTTGATTCGGACCTTGTCTGCTAATTGTTTGTTAGTACCGTACTGGCAATATATGTTGCCGCAGTGAGGCCATGAAGCGTTACATTGGCACATGTTTGCCGCACGCAGGGCGTTACATGCAAAGTCGCACAGGAGCCGTTACACAGGTTTCTATATTGCCGCGGTCCTTTTTTTGCTATTGCCGCATCACTTTTTTGCTATTGCCCCATCATTTTTTTGCTTGTGCCGCATCATTTTTTCTTTTCATCCACATTGAAGGCACAGAAATTCAGTTGCTATCCAACTGTTACAAACCCGACGGCAAAGGGCGACAACGATATCAATAGAAGACTGTATATTTTAACTATCAGAGTGATCTGTTCACAAAGAGATCATCAAATTTTTTAAAGGAAAGTGACATAGGGGAAGAGCGCTTCCTCCAAAAACTACTTTTCACCACGCGGTACACGTGCTTTCACAGTTTTCAGCCTTTTTTTTGCAGTGCAAACTGCAATGAAAAGATCGCCGCACCCCGCCGGACGCGCGTTACGAACTCAACGAAAATTTGTCGCACTAGCCTGGTCGCGCGTTACGCCGCACCCCCCTGCGTTACGCGTTACGCGGCAACATATATTGCCAGTACGGTACTTGTATGGTGTGGGAGCAAGTCAGTGGTGGTGTAGCCAGTATACAAGCTATTTCATGTGTGACAAGCGGCAGAGTCACGGTGTGTGCGTGTGTGTGTGTGTGTGTGTGTGTGTGTGTGAGAGAGAGAGAGAGAGAGAGAGAGAGAGAGAGAGAGAGAGAGAGAGAGAGAGAGAGAGAGAGAGAAGAGGAGAAGAGAGAAGAGGAGAAGAGAAGAAGAGGAGAAGAGAGAATGTGCACACATGCAAGGGACATGGGGTAGTCATCATGTTTGTGCATGGAGTACGTAGATGTTGCACAAGCGGCTTGTCCGAAACTCAAGTACACTAGCCTTGCTGTTGTTGATTTCTACAACTCGTATTCTTGCTAAGCAGCTGTCTGTGCTAAGTGCACTGATGGCCAGGGACACAAGGCACATGATTGCACTTCCACGTAATTACTAAAGTAGCACATCAATTAGAACTGAATGCCGGCTTTTTTAAAAAATGTGTAGGTTTCTCCCTGCCTGCTGATGAAACTGGATTTTCATACCAAATGCAGAATTTTCAAATTGTGTTTCAATCTCTCAAGCCGGGCCAGGACCTTTAAACTGTAGCTGGACTGATGAAATAATATTCTTTAGTTTTCATACAGGATCAGGGATGATAGGAGGAGACCCAGTTGTTCGATGGAGCTTCAGAGCAGCCTGGACTAACTGAAACATTCCTACAAAAACTAATATCCGGTGCACTCAGTACCACGGGCATGGGGGTACCAGACACGTCGTGTAGTGAAAATGTTCTCGTACACAAGTTCGCCAAGTACAGTACATTGTGAGTTCAGAACGAGGAAATAATCAGGCCAAACTCCTTACCGAAAAAAGGACAGTCTTGGCCAAAACAGCTCAATGCGAGTGAGAGAACTATGAAACAGACGAAGCTGGTAGCAGAAGCCATGGCTACAGTCTGCAGCTAATCGGTCAAGTAGAAATTAATTACTGGATCTTCGAAACAATTCTACATCTACCAAACAACAACGTCCCAGGCTCTCCTTCCTCCGCCAGTTCTCACGATGAGATCACTCTCACCCCACCAAATTAATAGCTGGATGGATGAGCTGAAGTAAAGCGAAGAACGCGATTTGTCACTCGAATGCCAAGAATGGTTATCTCAGTACAGAGTATCTGGCAGGCCAGGTCTTCATCACTCGAAACCCGCAGCCAGGTGCTTCAAACACGGGATCGGGGAAAGCACGACTTGACTTGTTGATGATTGGGACCGGGAACGCCTTTCAAAGTAAATTGCGTGATTATTTCTTGTTATTTTAGTCCGAGTCCGTCCGGTTTGTCGGTTTATTGGGTTTCAGGACAACTGCCACAAGAAACAGCAGTGTTAGGATGAGTTTTGTAGCGAATCAAGCCATGCATCACGTGTAAGCAAACTCAACTCGACCTCAGCTCAGCACTGAGCTGAGCTCAGATCAGACAGCTTTGTTGTTGTCAATGAGTGAGTACTCAATTATTTTTGAATGGACATGATCATAAAGATGTGTGTAAACTGTGTTGTTGTAGGGAAATAACTAACTTACTTATGCAGTAGGTTGTTAGTAGTAGAACTTATTGTAGTTCGCTTTTCAGTAGTGATCTTCACGTCGCCATGGCCAGTATAATAAATTTTGTTGCGGATGTGGCAACGAATCGCTCTTGGACAACGCCGATATGTGTCGCATTGCTGCTGTTTGAGGCTGTCCTCAATGTTGCTGTGATTTGGAAAGTCCCTTGTAAGTGATTTGTGCGGGTGAGCACACGACGCACGTACAGGAACACATACTCACGTGGATTTTATATTACGTATTTGTGCATAGCCTTTGCCCGAAATTGCCTTCGCAAGTCGAAACCATGATCAATTATAAGAAAGAAATTTGTGAAATGCATCAATGAAAATGAAAATGCCCCTCAAAGACGGTGGAATGAAAGGCTTAGCATTTCACTCTGCTTGTCCTACTCCAACGCTGTAGCAGGCATGTACATGTACATGTACGTGTACCATGTTCACAGACTCAGTGCACTGCATTACTACGTGTGCATGTAGTGTATCCACACAAGGCTGCACTTTACAAATAGTACGTCATTGTGCGGGTAACTGCTGTGCCGGTCAGTGAATTATTTAACTCTCGCGGATATAGACCAGCGCCCGGCGCAATTTCGCTGATAGTGCAAGGTTTGTTGATTAGCACTGCAGCGAAGTGCAATGCAGATTATAGAACATTGTAGCACTTAGCGTTCCCTGTAACAAGACGGCAACGTCTGTAGGGCCTTCCCTATCAAACTAATAAATTCTACTACACTACTGCTACTGGTAATTGTGCATCTGCATGTGACTACATTCACTAGTACTTGGCACTCTGCATGTCAATCCGTTCCACTTTGAGTTTGCCGGTACACACTCCCGTAGCCTCGTCTTGGCACAGGTTTCATGAGCTCAACTTAAAGTCAGCTCTGTAAACGAGGTCGATCTGTCGATTGTGCAGGCGGCGGGACTCCAACTAAGGTTAGATTACTACTTACTAGTCGCTGCAGGATCCAATAAGGGGAGGGGGGGGGGGGGCACAAAAAAATGCTTGAAGCATGGTTTCTTCCCACGCACCGTCTCAAGATTTACTTTTCACCACTGTATGCCGAGGAAATGTAACGACGAGAAGCAAAGAACAATAATGATAGGTAGTGAGCGCTGCGTCCCACCAGCCTGTGTAGAGTCACGGGAAGTGTGAGTTTCGAAGTCTGAAGAAAATGTTGAACGGTCTGCTGGGATGACGGCTACACCATAGCTCTGTGGTTAGAGCGTCGTTGGCCTCGAGCCAAGGTCCCTGGTTCGAGTCCTGGTGGTGACAGTCAATTTTTTCTTCAGACTTTTCCCTTGTCCATTCCCTCTACTACTTCCATTCCCTCCACAAGTGAATAAATGAAGATAGGGTTATTCCTTTGCATAGGGGTTGCTCTGCATGAGGTGGTGTGTATCTAAGCACGGAGAGCTCTGCAATGCTTACAATACAGTAATACTCAACATTCCCAGAGTACCAAAGATTTAAAATCTTGATCCTTGGCTCTCCATCCGAGTTTGATTCGCAGAGTATTTAAACCTTTGTGTGTACATGTAGATTAGAAGAATTCCTCAGCTGTTCTGAACATTTGAAGCCCTGATCCTGCTGAGTGTTGTTGTGTTCTGTGTGTTTGCATCACGACTTGCTTGCTGTGTAGACACAGAGATCGATTGGGAGGCGTACATGCAGGAGGTGGAGGGAGTTGTGAACGGATCCTACAACTACTCGACGCTTGAAGGTGGCACCGGACCACTTGTGTGAGTACTCTGGCTGTATGATGCGGACAGGATGACGCCCAGCTCACTGTGAGGGGACAGAACATACGCATGCACACATACAAACATAAAGGTACACACGCACACACACGCACACACACACACTCTTTCTCTCCTTCTCCCCCCCCCCCCCCCTTCTCTTTCTCTCCCGCTCGCTGACGTAACATGCGGACATTTTGCAATGTGCCTGGTCTGTTACTTGCATACGTCCAGGGAAGATTGTTCAGATTGCCTGATGCACAACCTGCACTGCCCTATTGGAGATGATAGGGGTCAAATCAGATATGCATGTCATGATGTGATGATGTCATGATGTCATGATGTGATGATGTCATGATGTGATGATGTGATGATGTCATGATGTACATGTACTGCTGTCATGTAGTCTAGTGCTCCACTTGGACAGCATCATGGCACAGATGCAAACAGCGGAAACCCTGCAGAGTGCTTGCCTGGAACGACAGTCAACCTCATGAGTAGCTACCTCCAGTCTAACATCAACTTGGGAAGAGCAACACAATCGTCAGACCTGGCGACAACTTGACTATATTTTCAACCTCACAGAGAACGACTCGTGAATAGCGACACTTTTCTCGTGCACGACCGAGGTTCGTTATTCGCCAGGCTGGCTGCACACTGTATTGAGCTTTCCTTCCTTTTCTGTCTGTCTGTGTGTGTACGACCATGGCAGCTATCCGGCTGGCTTCGTCTACGTCTTCCTCGCTTTCTACTACGTTACATCGTACGGTGCTAACATACGCCTCGCTCAGTACATCTTTGCTGGTCTGTACATGCTGAATCTTGGCTTAGTCTTCAAGCTGTACCATGCCACGAAAAAGGTATAGTGCTGGAATTTGTTTTTGGAATGTTACCTGTATCTGTTTCCCGTGTGCTTTTATGTTTGTTGTTTTCTGAATGCTTGTGGTACATGTCATGTACATCTGTCTTGCTGGTTTGGTATTGTGGTCTGTTGGTCCTAATTTGTGGGTTTGTTGAAGCCATGACTCTAAGATGTTGCTGAAGTTCTGTGGTGCATACAACTATCTCTTCTGTTCCTTTCTGTGTGTGTGTGTGTGTGTGTGTGTGTGTGTGTGTGTGTGTACATGTGTGCGCGTGTTTGTGTGCGTGTGTGTGTGCGTGTGTTCTTTTCTCTGTGCGTGTGTGTATGTGTTCTTTTGTATGTATGTATGTATGTATGTATGTATGTGTGTGTGTGCCTGTGTGTGTGTCTGTATGTGTATGTACATGGCCCTGTGTGTTCAGGTGCCTCCGTTTGTGCTAGCCGCCATGTGCCTGGTGGCGTATCGCATCCACTCCATATTCGTACTGCGCCTGTTCAACGACCCGCTGGCCATGATTCTGCTCTACCTGGCCGTCAATCTGTTCGTGTCGGGCCGGTGGACCACAGGATGTGCCGTGTTCAGGTGAGCAGTGAGACAGACAGACGGATAGACAGGTGGACAGACGTGCAGACGGACGGATGAGCAGAAAGGCAGACGGACGGACGGACGGGTGGACGCGTAGACAAACAGACAGACAGACAGATAGACAGACAGATAGACAGAGGCATGACTAACTAGACACTGCAGTCCACCTCGGCGGCCTCTGATGGATCTTGCCACCACTGGTCCGTACAACGTTTTGGCATACATGTGTGTGTGTGTGTGCATGCGTGCGTGCGTCTGTGTATGTGTGTGTGTTTGTGTGTGTGTGTGTTTGTGGGTGCATACGTGCACGTGTTGCTTCGCACAGCCTGGCAGTGTCGGTCAAGATGAACATTCTTCTGTTTGCGCCGGGGCTGGGCATCCTGCTGCTCCAGTCACTGGGTCCAGTGCGCACGTTTGTCAACATTGCAATGTGTGCAGTGATTCAGGTTAGTTATCAGTGGAAGATGGTCCTTGGTCACATGACTGAACTCTACTGGAGACTGGCAGTTATACTGTGACCTGCCACTCATCTCCCCCATGTTGCTTGCCCTTTTTTTTTTACATGAAGCCATCACTACAGTACATGTACATTCAGAAATATTTCAGGTTTGGGTTTTATAAACCCGATTTGGGCCTTAATTTTAAAAGCTCAAACCCAGTTTTTGTTCAGTTTTTGTCTTTGAACCTGCAACTCGTTACTCGGCACATTGGGTCGTGTTAAACCTGGCCGAATTTGGCAGCACCTCACTGGAACCTAATGTCTTCATGACGTTCACGTACTGTGGAAGTGCATGAGGTGTACATACACATACATGTATGCTGTATACTACATGATGTACATGTCAAAGAGTACTGGAAAGAGTACCTTTCCTCTAGATTGTATTGGTTGCCTAATTACCACTCAGGCTTTTGTTCTGGGGCATGGTCGCTTGTCCTGGGTGATCCGACTCTTTCTTGTGCTGTCATGTGTTCAGGTTGCCCTTGGTGCACCTTTCCTGCTGGTAGACCCCATGGCGTACATGAGCCGCTCGTTCAACCTCGGCCGCCAGTTCTTCTTCAAGTGGACGGTGAACTGGCGCTTCCTGGCCGAGGAGACGTTCCTGGATCGGCGCTTCCACGCCGCTCTGCTTGCCCTGCACCTACTGCTGCTGATCTCCTTTGCTCTCTTCAGATGGACAAGGTGTGTGTGTGTGTGTGTGTGTGTGTGTGTGTGTGTGAGAGAGAGAGAGAGAGACTGCAGTTTGTACTCCGAGCTGTTTGATGATTAGCTAGATGCCATGCTACTCCAGTTTGACAGCAAACTTGGGATAGTGTGTATGTGTGTGTGTGTGCACGTGCATGTGTTGTTTGTTTTTTTCTCCTCAAGCCAATGCTATGCAACTCCAGGCATGCTTGCGTTCTAATCAAGGAGTCCATTGTTTTCTCGCTTGCTTGCTTGTTTGTATAATTCCTCTATGCAGGTCTCAAGGCGGTGTTGCCGCATTGTTCCGCACTGTCTACCCATTAAAGAAGCTGTCAGCGGATCATATCCTCTCGTTTATTCGTTGCATGTCCATGTGCAGTGATTGGTAGCAAAGTCCGGCCGGGGAGGCGGATAGGGGAGTAGGGGAGGGGGGGGGGGGTACACATGTACCTACTGACAGTACTGTTTCCCTTGTGAGCTAGTGCAGTTTAGGAGCAGGTGCTGGAGTTCCAGTCTAACATGCTTTGCAGCCCGACAAGACAGTGCATGGGACTAGTTTTATTGCTTATATTATCTCGTGTTATGATCCGCACGGGCCCGCTGTTGTAATGAGCAAGCAAACTTCACTATCAGTCTCGTTCTTGTATGTTGTGTGCATGCAGTATCGTATTGTGTGTGCTTGTGATATCCGCAGCTGAGCACGCACACACACACACACACACACACACACACACACACACACACACACACACACACACACACACACGCACACACACACACACCTGTCGTGTCCTGTCCTGAACATTGCCGTAAAACGGTCACATGTCCCCTCGTACGAGGGGCCGACAGACATGGGGTAGGTCGTTGAATACGGCACGCAGCACGCTCCGCAGGCTAGCGGCCAACGAGAGCACACACACACACACACATGCACACACACTCTCTCTCTCACACACACACACACGCACCCACACACACACACACACACACACAACAGCTCCACACTTCTATTCAGTTCGGTGTACAAGTACATGGTGCTGATGTAGCCATTCAGGCATTCACTGTTGTTACCTTGACTACACCGCTCTCTCTCCCGGCATGCACATATCATCACCGTCCTGTTTGCCAGCAATCTGATTGGCATGGCATGTGCACGCTCACTTCACTACCAGTTCTACGTCTGGTACTACCACACCATACCCTATCTACTCTGGTCTACCTCCTTGCCAACTGTCATCAGGTAATGCATCTACTCATACAGTGGCATGGCCAAAGAAATCCAACTCACGTGCCAAAAGCAGCGCCAAGGCGCATGCGGCCCTCAGATCAGTTTTGGAGCATGCATGATGCAATTGAAATGGAAACGTGGCGCTACGTTTGACCCGCGGGTTGGATTTCTTTGGCCACAACTGTACATAGTTATTATACCATGTTGCTCCATGAATTCCGATCAAGCAAATCAGCTTTGCGCCTTGCACCATTTTCGCAGCCCAGTGTTCGCAAGCCTGTGGCTGCGCAGCGCCCGCGCGTGCTCGACTCCGCGCGATTTGATTCCATTGATCAGTGCTGTACATGTAGCTATATTTCGATGCAAGTCAGCGATTGCAGTAGAGAAACTTGCTGGCCCATTTCAAGTCACCCCTTGTTATAATCTTTGGAGGCTTTGACACTACATGTACATGTATATGTATATGTATATGTGCGGGCTTTGTAGGCAGTTGTTTAAGAACCCCAGCCTGCATATAGTGCTCTATGTCCAGTGGACAGAGAGAGAGAGAGAGAGAGAGAGAGAGAGAGAGAGAGAGAGAGAGAGAGAGAGAGAGAGAGAGAGAGAGAGAGAGAGAGAGAGAGAGAGAGAGAGAGAGAAGAGAGAGAGAGAGAGAGTAGTTCAATTCTCACACAGCAATGGTACCACCAAGTCCTTTGCTGTTACAGTCAACTTTGCGTATAACGACACTCGGCGGGGCATCAGAACACTTGAGAAAAGTGTCCTTATTCGCGAAGTGTCGTTATACCCGAAGTCTCATTATATGTATACAGGTAGAATGGACTTTGCTCTGGGCATGGGAATTCTGTCGTAATTCGCGAATTGTCGTTATATCCGCAGTCGTTATTAGCCAAGTTCACTGTACTCAGTGGCTTGCAACAATGGTGAGTGAGGCCGTTGGTGTCGACTCGTTTCTCCGTCTGTTTCTGTCCGTTCAGGCTTGCTCTTCTACTCGGCATCGAAGTGGCGTGGAACGTCTACCCGTCGACCAACTGGAGCTCGGCTCTGCTCCATGTGTGCCATGCCATGCTGCTCGCTGCTCTCTGGATAAGCAAATCCCCAGCTCCGGCGGCGGCTACGCCTAAGCAAGATTAATACATCCCAGTGTAGGTGCTGGCTGTCTAAGTCAATAAGTGGCTGGTTTTGCTGGCAAAATCGGGCCCACACTAAGTTACCGCGTAATACCTATTTACATTTTTTATTCATTTTTAAAATTACTTCAAAAGTATTTTTCCTTGATGCGAACGATAGGATTCGTTTTGCTTCACTCTCTTCTTTACAAATCTCTCACCTTATCAGGTAAAGTAACAGAGTGCCTGTACTCAGTTTACTGCTGGTGTGTGTGAGTGTGTGCACGCGTGTGTGCGTTCGTCCCGGGTGCACTATGAAAAAGTGCGCACAAGCCTGGATCATCAAGAGTACATACCCCACCCGGCCCCAGAGTGTGCAACTCTCGCATGCCATGCTGTCCCCGACTGTTATCATATATTTTTAATGCAATGCTCCTCACGCGAGTGATATACTCAATTATTACATGTCAGGTGACCGTTTCCAGGTCTACAGCCAATCAGCGACCAGATAGAGCGGGCAATATTCCTCCATACAAGCCCGCTCAGGCGGTCCAATATTACACGATATTGCCCGGCATTTGACCCCATACAAACTGTACACATACACATACAAGTAGGTGCGCATGTAATACCAGTTAGACACATGTGCCTCGTGGTTTTTCGTACCATGATCCCGAATTCCACGTGTGAAGGCAGTGTACGTTGATGAGTACATCAAATTAGGGAAGTATGCATGTAATAAATGTGTTATAAGCCTCGTAGTACGGGCAATACCGGCTACGATATCTGCCGGTATTGCCCTGATACTCGGCTAATAACACATACGTACAACTTTTGTACTGGGTGCCAACGCATCACGCGTAACTCCATGCATGGACTGATTAATTTTGTACAAGATTAAATGGGCCTGGGATTTGTCTTCCATCCTTGTGTCAGCCCATACTAGTCATGTGGTACAAGTCTATGCATGCACACACCCCCCCCCCCCCCACACACACACACGCGCCAGTGACACCAACAACGCGCAGAGAGAATAGCTTGCTAAACTTCTTCTACAACTACAGGGCCACAGTGAAGGCAGATTTCACATCTGCATACCTACAGAGCTGGAAGAAGACAGAAGGGGGAAGCAGAGGCAACAGAAATAATTATGTGTGCATATTATAGAGGAGGAAAACATATCAAAAGGGCGCAGGACACACGGATAGGATACGAAATGATTTGCCCGAACAAAGAGTGTGATGAACAGCGAATATGACCAGGCATGTAGTGAGGAACAGTAGGAAAATAGTGGCTTCACTAGACCAAGCATGGCGGTACAGTGGGCTAGCCGTGCAGTGTGCTCCACCGCCACCACTGCAAATGCAATGCCCACGGTCGAGCAGTCAAGTACGAGCTCGAAGCAATGCAGTGGCAAGCTAGTGCACATGTTCACTTTTGACCCGCAAAAATGCAACAACAAGAAAACAAGGTGTGGATAATTATTAGACGCCGTGCTATACCAACAAAAATCGTTCCAAATATTTTATCACCAGTGCAAAACAAAAACATTGACATGATAATAATTATTTAAAAAATCACCAATCACTGAAGTCTACCATCAACTCGAACGACTCGTGATTTCAGTGTCCTCCAAATAATTGCAAAATGAACAGGAGGCGACACACATACTCTATCTAGGATATACGTGTACTGTATTCGGCTAGCTGCACAGATCTAGCTGTTCACAACACTCGCACGGTCAAAGCACATGTATGCGGAAAATCATAGTGGTACAGGTACAAGCAATGAGAGCATATGCATATTATGCATGAGGAATGTATAAATAATTATGATGAAATAAGCTAGCAGTATGTATGGCACGAGCCAGTGTTATGCATGATGTAAGCTAGTGCTATGCATGAGGTAAGTCAATGTTATGCATGAGGGAATCTTGTGCTATGCACGAGGTAAACCGGTGGTATGCATGAAGTAAGCCGGCGGTATGCATGATGTAGTAGTCTTGTGCTATGCATGATGTATGGCATACGCCAGTGTTGTGCATGAGGGAAGCTTGCGCTATGAATGAGGTAAGTACATGTTATGCATGAGGGAATCTTGTGCTGTGCATGATGTAAGCCGGCGTTGTGCACGAGACTACATGCATGTCCCGGGGCATGCAGGATGCCTTTACTAACACAGTGAAGATAAGCATGTGCTTGTGTCTGCTGCCTATTGCTTCTTAGCTGCTTGTGTCGGCTGCCTATTGCTTCTTAGCTGCTTGTGTCGGCTGGGGCTTCATGAGGACCTGGGATGAGCAGAGTTGCGCACAGCACGGCAAGGAAAAGGAGATTTTTGTTTTGTATTTTGTATTTATTCAACATTTCCTCGCTCGTCAAACGACTGCCAATGGCAAATGAATGTGACGACTGCCAATGAAAAATGAATGTGAAATGAAGGGTGATAGCCAACCACGGCAAATATCCGAAAATTTACAATGTAAATTTTCCGGATAAATTTTCGGATATTTGCAGTGGTTGGCTATCACCCTTTTTAATGTCATTATGACTGTAGGAGTACTGCGTTTTCGCAGCAGCCCTTGTCGGCTGGTTTAGTTCACAAGCATTATATCACGTAAGGGCATTGCGATGCCCAGTGCTGGGATGAACGTAGTTTTCTGTGAATGAGTGTTCTCACCAATGTTTACCGAGCGAACGAACAAATGTTCTAACTTTCTCCCATGTTTGGAATGTGCCAACTCTATGACTAGTGAAAGAAAACAAAATGAAGGCGGAAAATCCTTTACTTGTCAGGGATGAATTTATCCAGTATCGCATCGCAGTTTGCTACGCAAAATCGATCTACTGCTACTCAAAAATCACAGTGACACGCAGAAAACTGCGATACATACATGTACAGGCTATCCATGCTTTTGTAGCTTACGCCACCCTTTGTTAATTCATTGTTTAACGTCCTTTTTTTCGCGAAAAGGTACGCGGGAGGGCGGAAAAAAACAAAAGCCCATTCCAAAAACTGGAAACCCCAATCAAACATTTTGACCAGTAAAGCATGTGATATACACAATATTTCTGGGTCTAATGGCACTTGCAGGCATAGAACAACACTCTTTGATGGTACATTGGAGCACATGCCTGATGAATCCAACAAAACAGGTACATAGCATGGAGTTAGCATGTCATGAATTCATTACATCTGGATTTTTACTAGGACACACACCGTACGATATTTAAAAGCCAACAAAAAAAGAAAAAGAACACAAGACAAAGGCATGCCCGGGAGGCAAGATTATAAGTTTAAGGTCATGATCGGCACACTGTGAAACTACACCATCATGTATTTACAACTTCGCATATTATTGGTACTACTACTTTCTTGTTTTTTTTTCCGGTCGGAGGCAAAAAGGTACGCGGGCGCGGACGTTAAACAACGAAAAAAGAAAGGGTGGCCTTACGCCACAATTGAGATTTTGCATAGCAAAAACTGCTATGCAAAAACGTGACAGTAAATTCATCCCTGCTTGTACATGTACATGTACATGCTTCAGCCGTTCAGGGAAGAACGCCAAGGCTCTAATCATGAACGTTACATGCACCGTCTGCAACGCACAATCTGGTGCACCCGGCCAACTCTCAAACTCGTCGCAATGCAATTTGCCTGTACATGCACCTGCATCAGCTAGTACATGTACCCTGATAATATGAAATATACTCTCTATGGTCCATTCTCTGTACTGCATAGCGAATGCGCCCATCACAAGTCAACCATAATATGCTTGAAAGCAGATCAACCTTCGAATATATTTTTTTTGATATGCCGACAAAAGTTTTTTTTTCCACGAAGTTACGAAAGTTTGAAGTCGCCCGGTTGATTCTGCATACCGGGTTAACGAATATTCGCCATGAGAAATATTCGTTCGAATGTGTCGAACCGAACGAATATTCGAACATTCGGTATATTCGTTTCACGCGAAACGAAAGCAGAACGGTAGCCAAAAATAATAATTTAGTGCGAAAATAAGAAAAATAAATAATAACACCCGAAAGCGCTAAATACAAAATCAAGAAAAAGGGAAATTATAAACCATGTAGCGCTAATGTGCACCAAATAATAAGTTAAATGATAATAAAGCCGAGTTAAAAACACAAGAAATCATAACAAAAGAAACAAACTAATAATACGAAAAAAGAGTAATAATATTAATGGGAGAACTCTCATAACATCGATTGCAGGAGTCTGTTCAAGGAGGATCATTCAGTTATCGGAGCCTAGCCTCGGCAACCACGAGATCTACCGAAGCAGCTGTGACGGAGGGAGTGAAGATCGGACGACGAGCTCCACCTTCGAATATTCGAATGTTCGAGCGCAAAGTTTTTTCGTTCGAACGTTCTTTCCATCAAAACATTCTACATGTAGAGTAAAACCTGTCAAGGCAACCACTCTGATAATACAACCACTCTGATAATACAACCACTCTGATAATACAACCACTCTGATAATACAACCACTCTGATAAGGCAACCACTCTGATAATACAACCACACTGATAATACAACCACTCTGATAATACAACCACTCTGATAATACAACCACTCTGATAATACAACCACTCTGATAATACAACCACTCTGATAATACAACCACTCTGATAATACAACCACTCTGATAATACAACCACTCTGATAATACAACCACTCTGATAATACAACCACTCTGATAATACAACCACTCTGATAATACAACCACTCTGATAATACAACCACTCTGATAATACAACCACTCTGATAAGGCAACCACTCTGATAAGGCAACCACTCTGATAAGGTGACCACCTGTCCTGGAGGACCTCTACAACCAGGACCATGGGATGTTATTTGCAGTCAAATGACCCTGGATCAAGAGACTACCTGTACACGGGGACCACATTGGTAAGGTCCCTTGATGGGTCGCCTCAGACAGGTTTCAATGCAGCTGAAAATAAGAGTTCGGTGTCTTACCTGGTGAGGAACGAACAGAGGTCGTGCTGCGGCGGACGGGGGCGCAGGCGTGGATCCTTGATGACCAGTGCCCTGCTGTTGCTGCTGCTGCTGGCTGGCAGCCGCCTGAGATTGCATTAGGACGTTGAGCATGTGAGGCATGCTTCCAGTAGCTTGCTGCTGCTGCTGGTGGTGATGCTGTTGTGGCGGCGGCTGCTGCTGCTGGTGGTGATGCTGTTGTGGCGGCGGCTGATGCTGCTGCTGCTGGTGGTGATGCTGTTGGGGCGGCGGCTGATGCTGCTGTTGTGGTGGCGGCTGATACTGTTGCGGTGGTGGCGGCTGATGATGATATGCAGCAGCACCTGGCGGCGGTGCCTGCGGACGGGGCAGGGCGGGATTGACCTGCATGGGCGCAGCAGGGAACGGGATCCCCGGCCCGTGTCCTGGGGGAGGACGTTGCTGCGGAGGCTGGTTGACGGCAGGAGCAGGCGGGTGGCCGTACGGAGAGCCCGCTGCATAGTAACCGGGATGGGGAGCAGTCACGGGACGAGGGGCAGCAGCCGGTGATAGGCCACTCAGCACCATTGGAAATGGCATTGAGGGCACAGCACGAGGTTGCTGCTGCGGATGCTGCTGCTGCTGCTGCTGGTGATAGTGCTGGGGGGATTGTTGTGGAAACGGCTGTGACTGCTGTGGTGGGTGCTGGCGCTGCTGCTGCTGCTGGTGGTGAAAGTGCTGGGGAGACTGTTGTGGAAACGGCTGTGGCTGTTGCGGTGGGTGCTGGTGCTGTGGCTGCTGTTCATGCTGCTGTGGATAGTGCTGTTGTCCTTGCACCGGGTGCTGTGGATGTGGACTACTAGGCACAGCAGGACTGTGATGACTGGCTGGGGTTTGCGGCTGACCAAACAGGGTGGCAAACGGTCCAGTGTCCCACGACGTGGACCCCGCAGCCGTGGACTCCGGGCCTAGCTTGCCACTCGGTGTCTGCATAGCTGCATGGTTCAGTTGCTGTAGTAGAGCAGGCATCAGAGCTGCCGCTGGTGCGGGTGCTACTGCTGGTGATGCCTCCGCTGCTGACATTGTTGACACCTCCGATGATGGTGACGTCGCTGGCGGTGTGCTAGACACAGGTGCCATTGCTGTTGCTGTGGCTAGCAGTGGATGAAGGACTGTTGCTGGCGTCACGACTGACGGTGCTACTGGCACTGCTGCGGTTGGCGTGGGAGCGGACGTTGACGCAGGAATAGACTGTGCGGGCTGTTGCTGTTGGGCCTGCGGCTGTGGGACTGTGGAAGTGTTGGTTTCCGCAGACAGGTCACCCACATGCTGTACCAGAAGGGGAAAAATAAAGGCACACGTTGGAAGAAAAACTACGCCACCTCTCCCAGTCTCACTCATTTAGGGGGATGGAAAAATTTCACAACTTCTCATCCCATAAACTGTGCTCAGAAAACAGGAATGGGGGGGGGGGGGTGTGTGGTTGGTGCCTGTTCATCTTGAAACGGATGAGCAGTTTGTATGTGAACTGCAGCGCTGCAGTATGGTGATCAGTGGCTGGTTGGTTGGGGGGGGGATAAAGCCTACGCGAATATGGCCGTTTCAGAGGAAACACCCACAATTTTGAAACAACCCCTTACTCAGGCCACAGAGAAGTACTAGTACTAGTAAGTGGAAATAGTAGATAGTTGTGCTGGATGCAATCTGAGCCAAAGTACAAAGCTGGCGACCGGCGGAAGCAGTTTTTGATTGGTCCGGACCCATTCCGAAGCAGCGATCACAACACTTCTTCCACGTCCAGTGCAGCAAGGGCCGTGCAAGTCCAGGGTGTGACATGTTTTACTTTGGGTCGCATTTCACCGAGCACACCTGTAGTAGTCTGGTAGTGAGTGGGACAGCCAGAGTCGGATAAAAGCAGCATGGTGTCCGACGAGCTGGAATGCAAAACCCACTAAATTTGAGAAAATGAGATTTCAACTCAGTGAAATCAAAACGTCTAAGGGCACCAGCAGGCAAAATGTCACGTTCAAATCTGACCAAAACCATTTCAAAACTAGAACCCACATATGGATTTAGAATTTTAGAATTTAGATACAGACCAAACAAATAAAAATAATCCATTTTTGGCCATTTATCCGAAAAGTGATGAAATGGATTTAGCGGGTTTGGCATTCCAGCTATTCATTACTGCTTTTGCAAGTAATGTTACATGTTACCTCATGTACACTCACCAGGGATGATAGAGCCTTGCCGGCCGCCGATTCGCAGGCCTTGGCCTGGCTGAGCGCGGGATCGCCCTCGAACCACATCTGTTCGATGTTCAGCATGGCTGTGTATTTCTGCAGAGCAGGCAGAGCAGTACACGCGGGTACGACACAACACATGACGAGATCAGTTTGTGTACAGACTTACAACATGCTATCTAGTATCAACGCAGGTCACACCGGCTACAGTAACACTGCAGTGAAAAGTACCCTGGATATAAAATACTCGTAGTGTAAAGCGATAAACTGTCGCGGCGCCCACATTTTGCGTTTTCATGAATTGGGCTGGTTCACGACGAGACACTTTTGCGATTCTATCTCTTCAGTCGGATCTTGTACTGTCTACTTCCGAAGTAGAATCAATGTACGGAGACGTTTACGGCGATTTATATTCACGAATGTGTGATGGTCACGAAAACAGCGAAATTTAATCTCTAGCGAAAGTTTCTCACTCGACAGTACTTGCATGCAATCAGCACGAATACTCTGAGTTACGGGCAGTGTCCCCCGGGCAGTGTACCCCGGGCAGTGCCCGGTCCCAACATGCCCGGATAAGGCAGGCGCCTAGCACTGGTGGCCGGGCAGGGGTGGGGTCCGGGGGCTCTCCCTCTGTGAGAATTTTGAAATTAGGGTGCAACATCCTGCATTCTGGGCACTTTTGACCATGGTCGGGCGACAAAGTGGTGCGGCCAAAGCCGGACCGGCTGCTACGCCCCTGTAAGGGGAGTTCTACTGTAGGCGTATCAGAGTGAGAGAAAACAATGATGAACATAATGTGCCAAGCAGCAGCAATCAACTGGGTCCTATCATCACTCACACCATGACCGTGGTGTCTTTGCTGCGAATACCCCTTTCCTCATCCACCACATATTCGGAGCATGGCCCATCAGTAGTTTTGTTTTTGTTTTTGTTTTGGTTGTCCAAAGCCTCTTTTACGGGCGAACAAAACACAATTCACCTGATGGTGGAGGATTGGAAAACAACTCACATAATGACAACAATTTCGTCAGGGTGAACAATCAATCAATCTCTGAATACGAAGATTACACAGGCGTACCGTGCACACCACTCCCATGTCTCCAAGTCTGGTGGCTGCTTGATGCCAGTGACACTTACCGAGTGCAGATGGGAGATCTCGTACGTGGGAACTCCCAGCTTTTTGGTCTTGCAGTGCAAACGTAGCAAACCCACGTGTGAGGCGCCTCTGAGAGCAGAGAAGGGACGGAGGGGGTAGAAAGGCAATAAAGTTACGCCCTCAATGCGAAGATGTAGCGGTCCAGCCAACCGGCAATGAACAGAGAATTTCAGAGATTACTAGTAGTAGTACGTTCACGGAGAGATACCCATTGAGAACTACAGTATGGTTTTTGAATCAGGAATCATCAGAGTTTTTGGGAAAACCAAATGTTTCCACTTGTAAATCCGGAGCTAAATCATTACATAGAAGCAAAATGACACTATTCGGCCAGGTTTTGGGCAGGTTTCGGTGAAGGAGTGTACAGAGAAGTGGCACCTCTGCTGTGCTTTCAATGATGTAAGTGTGTCAATCATAACAGGGAGAACCATGCTGTGCATGCAGTAACTTACCCGGTTTTGGATGTCGGTATTTGTGACACGGGTGCCTCTACTACCACTGTCTTCACAGTTGGTGCTGTACACACAGACAGACACAGAGACACACAGAGCCGTGAACACAGAAACACGGGGAATACACAGACACAGAGATGCAGACAGAGAGAGAGAGAGAGAGAGAGAGAGAGAGAGAGAGAGAGAGAGAGAGAGACACACACACACACACACACACACACACACACACACACACACAAAGAGACACAGAGACACGGACGAACACAGAGACACACATGCATACACAGACAGATAGACAGACAGACAGACATACAGGCACACCGAGGCAAAGGAACATGTCGTAATGCACAACATTCAAAATTCTGACTCCGCACATCACAGTGGGAGCTGCAGCCTACTGTATCCCCCCCCCCCCCCCGGGTTGCCATGCACCCATGCATACAGGCCCGTGGATCTAAAAAAACCCTGGCTGAATATAGCAAAAGACCCATCTCCCGTACGAAACAAACTCCGAAGGCGGCTCGGACAAAGCGCACAATGCAGGCCGCTCTAGCCGGAGGTAGAGCTGGCATGCAGAGAACGACCGGCCAGACACCAACCTGATTTGCTTGGAGTTTTACTAGCACCATCCGTTGCGACGGTCGTAGCTCCACCAATATTCAACATCGTCTTCAACGACTGCAGCCATTAGAAAAGTTCAAGAAGCAACAAGACACAACAAGCATCAAGTTAGGGGGCCGTCTGGGGTCTGGGGTCACTGGTAGTTTTTTTTCAAAACGAAATTTTATTATCAGCCCCCGCCCATCCACCCACTACTAGAAAAAGAGGAAATCACAAGAGGAAATCACAAGAGAGAGAGAGAGAGAGAGAGAGAGAGAGAGAGAGAGAGAGAGAGAGAGAGAGAGAGAGAGAGAGAGAGAGAGAGAGAGAGAGAGAGAGAGAGAGAGAGAGAGAGAGACAGAGAAAGAAAGAGGCAGGTGAGGGGAGACAGAGAGAGAGACAGAGGAAGACAGAGGGAGAGAGAGACAGGTGCGTACAGTCCATGCACTCACACTCTCCAACTCGGACAGCAGTGGCTGACCAGTAGATGACTCCTGGGAGGAGGGCAGTAACGGTACTGCGCTGCTGGTGCTGGTGGTTGTTGTTTTCGTGCTACTGCTCACGGCAGCTGAAGTGCTGCTGACAGATCCTTGTGTGGACTTGGCATCGCTGCGACTGCGCGATTGAGTCTTGGCATTGCCTGTTCCGGACAGTATGGGGCTAGCAGGATTCTGAGCAGCGGCTGGGTGATGACGCTGACTGGCGCCGGTGAGAATCTGAGCGGGGGCCGATGCGGCGCTCTTGGGCTGCAGCTGGCGCACGCCCACAGGCGTGGAGAAGCGATCGTTGCCAGGACGACCTCCGCCAGCACCAGCACCGCCGCCGCCCACTACAGACGCAGCCGTGCGGCCAACGAACGCCGAATGATTGATGGCGCTGGATGGTCCCCTTGGCTGCTGCTGCATGGGGTTATATAAGCGGCGCGTAGGAGTCTGCTGACGGCGGTCGTATGGCTGCGGCGCTTTCAGCGCGGCCTTGCGCTCGGCCGAGGCGCGTGCGGAAGACAATGCAGCTTGCATGGTCTCATCGGAGGCTGTGGCGGCAGCCGTAGCCTGCTTGGAGTTTGAGAAGGTACGCTGCCCGTGGCTGAGGCTGATCAGCGAGGCAGCCATCATGCGGTAACACCGCTTACCCGACGATCTGCACAAACAATGGAACGAGAGAAAGAATTAGAAATCATGGGAAAGAAACGAGATGTGTATGAACACGGACATGTGCGAACGTGTGCGTGTGCGCATGTGTGGGTACGTGTGTGTGTGTGTGTGTGTGTGTGTGTGCGCGCGTGCGCGCACGTGTGTTCGTGTGTGTGTGTGTGTGTGTGTGCATGCGTGTGTGTGCATGTGTGCATACGTGTGTGTGTGTGTGTGTGCGTGTGCGCACGCATGTGTGTATATCACTGTGTGCGTAGACCACCATACCCACTCACACCGACACCACCTAGGCATGCTCACCGCAGTTTCAAACCGCCATGGAACTCCTCATCGAAGAAGACTTCATACACCATTTCATGCTCTTCTTCCTTCAGGCTACCCAGCGCTGCAACAGGACAAACAGACACAGGTGAAAAACGAGACTTCACACCAGGGACCCAAGAACGCCAACAAATATTTACCATTTCCACTAAAGAGCATTGCACTAAATTTGGATACACTTTTAGTGGAATTGCCTGCACATTGGGTATTGAGAAAAAAAATCTGCCAAGTAAATCTCCATATGCCTGCCCCCTCCCCTCTTCCCCTCCCTCCCTCCCCCCCCCCCCTCCCTCCCTCCCTCCCCTCTTCCCTCCCTCCCTGGTACTCTCACAGGCTGCATACAAAGAGTGGGGCAACTTCCAGTTATATCACTCGCTATTCTTCAAAAAAACAACCGCTTGGTCCAGGAGGCACCAGCGAGGACACTGTTTGTGAGAGCATAGCTGCTCAACACACTGATAGACCACCTGTGCAGTAAGTCTCAAGATCCAACGAATTACAAGTACGCTTCTAGCACTCTCGCATGCTGCATACAAAGAGTGGGGCAACTTCCAGCTCTACCACTCGCTATTCTTCAAAAAACAACCGCTTGGTCCGGGAGGCAACAACAAGGACACAGTTTGTGAGAGCGCAGCTGCTGAGCAAGCTGACAGACCACCTGTGTCCTGGACGGAAGAATGCAGAACAATTGGCGTGCTAGCTGAGACATTGGCCAGCAATCCCCATTGTTTCCACCTTCCTGTCAAATGCAAAATTTTGTTTTACAAACTGTATATCCTGCCTCTTTTTATGTACGCTGCTGTTAGCTGGTGTGGCTTGTCCTCGGTTCTCGCTGAGCGTCTCGAAATCCACCATAGGAAACTTCTTCGTATCCTGTTTAGACTACCCCCTCTCTACTCTTCTACTTCCCTGTATGTCCTTGCAAATGCTTGCCCACTGTCAACCCACCGCCAAAAATTAATTTGCACTTTTGCTCACAAATTTAAACTAGCTCTACATCCTCCTCATCTTAGCGTGTATAACTGGTTCCGAACCACAGATGGCTCCCAGACAAGATGCTCTGTTGCCCTCCCCTTGGCTAAAACATCCTCCCGTGTACACTCCACTCTTTGTTGCCTACTCTGCTTGGCTTGCGCTGCCCGCTACTACGCGCAATGCCAGCACCCTGGACGCATTCACCACCACCTGAGAAAGAAGGGAAGAGGAAAATCGCCGTGCCAGGGAGAGGCGTGAGGAGGATGACCGGAGTGAGCGGGAAAATCGGGAGTAGGACGAAAAGAAGACCAGGGAAGAGAGGGAGTACCGAGAGAAACAGGAAGAGGACAGAGAAGCAAGAGAGAAACGGGAAGAGGGCAGAGAAGCAAGAGTTTCTAAGGTGCGTATGGATGAGAAGGCATTCAAAGCCAAACTCCTTCAAAGTCTGTTGCTGAAGTAAAACCAAGTCATTCTCTCGCTCATTCTCTCTCTGCATCTCTTGTCTCAAAGTACAAGTAGAATGCCACCGATGTGATTTGGTACAAACCCTGGATCAAATCTAGCTTTGGAAAATTTATTTTTCATTGCTTTCAGATTCGGCCTCATTTTCTCTGTGCTGCGCTAATGGGTCCACAAAGGACGAAACAGTTCTGTCCGCAGATTGAATATGCAAAAAAGAATATTTGTTTAGTTTGCTTCCCTGGCTGGCCGTGTATTTTTTTGCTGCATGTTTTTTTTCCCGCTGTGCAGTTGTTTGCTGTTTTATTTTGATGTGTGCTTTTTGCTGCGCGTTCTTTTTGCTGTGGCGTGGGAGATTGGTGGATTGAAAAAGTCCTCAAATCTTGTTTCTCTTATTTCCAAAATATACTTGAATTCCAAATGTATATGATAGAGCTGTCATTGTGATCACTGTAAAGTAGGTCAAACCATTTGATTTTTAATTTAGGCCAAACTAAAAAAGGTGTGTGGTTCGACTAACATGGACATTTTTTTACGGGCGGGCAGGCGGATTTTCTTTTTTTTTAAATATATATTTTTAGTACATGTAAATACACTGTACTGCCTTTAGACACCCAGTACATCGGCATTAACTTATTACGCAGTGTTATGCCATACATGTTGTATAAAGGGATCACTGGCTAATACTTTGAAACATTGTGTGGCAGAAATGTGACTTAGAAGTATGTGTGACTCGCCAGTCTGCCGGTGGTCGTATCGAGTAGACTCTACTACCAGCACAAGGCAGCCGTCGTACCACTCACTGCACTGCACTGCAGTACAACTACAAGTCAAGTCCAAAAGGAGCCGCCTGCGTCCGCAGACTCACGCTGCACAGCACGTAGACGTGGACGTGTTCAGTCCACGTACGTCAGTCACACGACAGCCCGCCGAAAAAAAAGTTACGGTCGGGCTGAAAAATGTACGGTCGGTCGGGTGAGTCGAACCACAGACTTTTTTCAGTGTGGCCTTATATAATTTCTCTAAGGGGCCGTTCAAGGGTACTAATAGGGGTAAAACAAATTCAGTGAATATTCCAGAATTATTCGTTTAAAATAATTTGAGAAAAGAAAAGGACCAAGGAACTACAAGTTAAGCTATAATGTCCACTAACACCACCAGTTACTGAACAATCAGAGCTCATGTGATAGCATTGCACGACACTGACTGACGGTACTGACGTTCTACAACTAACTGGCTATCAGCTCTAGCACATCTTGGATGCGCACTCCAACAGCCTTCCAACCTGGAATGTTCTAAGTTATATGATAACATTATACATGTAGCTAGATTACAGTGTAACTTGTAGCTCCTTGGTCCTTTTCTTTTTCTATAAATTTATCCTTGGCTCTCCATCTGAGTGCATTCCCATAAAACAATTCGACGTGTTCGTTTCGGAAGCGAATACGTCATATTTCGGTTTTGGACATTTTGCATGTGCAAGTGCCACTGCAGACAGTGACCAGGTCTGTGCGCATGCGACAGCTTGCGACACGAGCGTAACCCGTGCGCAAGTCACACCTTGAGAACAGTGCAGTAGAGTTGGGTGGTTGGAATGTTGGGAAAAGGGAGGAATATGCTTCACAAGACTGAACCAGATAGAATTTGACTTCCACTGTCTACATGGTCTAAAACGGGCGAGGAAAACTTGTCTTTTGCATACTGTAAACATGTAATCTTTGGTGTAACTTTAATTTCGGTGATTTCGGTACAGAAACCAGGCACCTAAATTTAAATTACACCTGAAATGCACTAGAGTATGCACTGTATGTGAAGGGAACGCTGGTCACCTAATTCTAAATTACACCTGAAACCTGGCAGGTCCGTGGCACCGAAATTTTAATGCACCTAAAATTACATGTTTTACAGTACTTCAAAGAAGAATATTCGATGAGGTGGGTGGGTTTTAGGAGTTTCTTTTCGAAAATAATTACGGAATGTAGATGGAGAATGCCCAGTTACTTCTGGGTGCCGGAAATGGACATCAATATTTTATTGTTAGAACATTGCTGGCCTCAAGCGAAGGTCCCTGGTTCGAGTCCTGGTGGTGACAGTAAATTTTTTCATCAGACTTGTTTGCATCTTTCCCTCAAATCAATGAAATTTCATTGGAATTCGTTTTACCTATGGGTGGGTGGGGGCTGAAAAATACTAACACTTTTTCGTTTTGTAAAAACAATCGGTAACCCCGGCCGGGCCCTAATGAAGACAAGCACGCCGACTTACGCTCATAGATTCCAACAACTGTGCCACGACAGCCAAGCGGCACAGCTCCGGATGAGCGCACGTTAACGACGCGATCCCAGAGGTGGAACTCTGCTTCGGGATCGGGTCGCAAGTTGTTGAAATACTCTGGTGGCTGCAGGAAGAAGAGAGCAGGCAACACACACGCGCACACATCAACATCTGAGCACGCTGGGAATTTCAGCTTGCGCTGCTTGCCAAACCTGGCTGCACATGGCATTTTTGAGTGCAATGACATGGAGAGTGTGTACTGCAAGCAGTGCCACTGCCAGAGAGTACCTCTTATGTGTAGAACAAAACAAAAAACAAACAAACTAATAAACAGCAACAGCAACAGCAGCAGCAGCAGCAGCAGCAGCAGCAGCAGCAGCAGCAGCAGCAGCAGCAGCAGCAGCAACAACAACAACAACAACAACAACAACAACAACAACAACAACAACAACAACAACTATCTCTTATTGGCCACTGGCTATCGTGAGAATAAAGATTTGAAACTACTTATCTCTTGTTGGCCACAGGCGATCGTGAGAATAAATATATGAAGCAAGAACAAGAACAAGAAACAAGAACAACAGTGGCAATGCAGTACGCAGTATACAGTACCTGGACACGTGCATGCTCAGTCACACATGTCCAGTCAATCAGCCGAATCTTTCAATCGCAGACAGGCATCCAGACACTTACCATAAACAGCGCGTTCGGCCGCACTTGCATGCGCAGAATCTTGCGTTTCTTGCTCTTCGCCACAGCCTAAGACACCAAGAGCAACACAGCATATCTATTAATTATTAAATTCACAATCATGCTGTACTAGCCAATGAGGAGGTGATTTGAGCGATAGCCAGGCATGGAAACAATAGAGGGGGAAAGAAAAAGAAAGGAAGTATCAGTGCAATCACACCACAACATACAACTTAGAACCAAACCACACATTCTACGTAGAGTAGTGTTTGCAGAACTGAGAACACACTACAACAGTGCTGCTCAATGAAATCCAATCAAGCGAGTCAGTGCCATGCCGGGCGTTGTGCAGCCATACAATGTGTCAACACTCAGGCTCGTGCTCGGCGATGGGCACGGGCACCCCCCAAAAATTTTCAATCTGGGTAATTGCAATTGTAATGTATGCAAATATGCTCTAAAATTCAAGAAAGGTTGCAAACAAATTGCAGAAAATTGCCGGGGGGGGGGGGGGCTCCCCTCGGCTCCCGTGCACCCCCCTAGTTGGGGGGGGGGGGGGGGGGGCGAGCACGCCCCTGAACACTGGGATGTGATGAAAATCCTGCAGCCAGGGCGCACACTGGATTGGAGGGATCTGATTTCGTTGAGCGGCACTATAAGGTAGTGAAATTGGATTCAAGGGATCAGATTTCATTGAGCGGAACTGTACAATCAAGGTAGAGGTGCATCACGTGCACTGTGCAATGCTCTGACCTTGGCCTGCTGCACTGCTCTGTCGATATCCTCGATGTGACTGGCATCCAACGTACAGCTGCCACACTGCAACTGTTCACCACTGGCACTTGCCACCTGACGAAGGAACGTTAGCACCTCTACCTGCATAGCAGAGCTGCATGGTAAGCGGTAACAGAAGTACACGGTGACAGGAACCACAGACAAGAATGAGAGTTGAACCCACGGACACGGAGCGCTCATACAGACACACACAGAGAGAGAGAGAGAGAGAGAGAGAGAGATAGAGAGAGATAGAGATAGATAGATAGAGAGACAGAGAGATAGAGAGAGACGGACAGACAGACAGACAGACAGACAAGCACACACACGTACACGGAAACAGACTCGCATACCATAGTATATTGGAATGAAAAGGATATAATCTCATTCCGCCTCGTTGGGAACTTCATTTCCCTTCCATTTACCGCAGTGAGAGAGAGAGAGAGAGAGAGAGAGAGAGAGAGAGAGCTGGAAGCTAAACCATTGATAGTAGTAGGCACTTGTGCAGTGACGGACTTACTCGACTTCACCAAAGACGTCCTTTTCTTGGAAGTCGTCGTTGCGCGTCATCTTCTCCAGGCGTTGAAACATAGTCGGAAACCTGGCGTGGCGGCGAACACACACACACACACGCACGCACGCACACACACACACAAAAGGCATATTATGCCATTACAGGGGCGGCGTGATGTACAGCACACAAGGTGATGGCACATGCGATCCGTGCAGCCCAGCACAAGCACCACATGTGACAGCTCAAACACCTAAGACTGTTAACGAGACATCGTATGTGTCCAGTTTAGCCCATGCAGAGGATTCCAGGGCAGCGAGTAAGAATTTAACATGTAGCTACAGTCAAACTTCAGTAAAATATACCTCCACGGACCGCAAACAAATTACAGGCTAGATGTATTGTGTATCCAGTGTCAAATGACTGTTTCCCTCAATGCAGGGTCATGAAAATAAGCAGGGTCACTAAAATGATAGTACTTTGAACCCCGCAGTGCGTTATACCCAGGGTACGCTATATTGAACTATTTCACTGTATTAGCCTACTAGGAACATTAGGGGGCGTTCGTTTTTGATCTACAGGTTTGGGTAGAAACTACTTCTTTCAGTAGAGGTGTTCGTTTTTTGAAAAAAAATTCTACTCAAAAGGGTACTGTAAAAGCAGAAATTTTCGGTGGTGTAATATTTTCGGTATTCTCCAAAATCGGCGGTTCGGTAGAGGGAAATTTTCGGTAAAACCCGTTCTCCAGGTAAGTGTGCTAGTACTACATGTATACAGTGTCGGGTGTACCGAAATTTTCGGTGCGTTTTATTATCGGTAAAAATTGTCGGCACCGAAGTTACCGAAAATGAAACGCCACCGAAATTTCTGCTTTTTCAGTAGATTCTACTTTCCTCTACCGGCTCTCCCAGGAAAAAGTTGGTAGAATCCGGTAGAAGTTGGTAGAGCTTAGGGATTTCCAGCAAGATCAAGGATTTGTACACAACTCCATACAAAAAAGAAACATTTCATGTACACATCATGTAAACTACTAGATCTGGTAGAACAGCGTTCGTACACTTGCCTCTACCATCTATCTCTATCGGTAGAGTGACTCTACTCTACTCTACCAGGTAGCTAAAAACGAACGCAGCCTTAGTCTACATGCTGTATTATATCAGTTGCTACCAGGGAGTAGTAAAATACAGGGAGATGACACGCCACTAATCGTGATTTTTGATGGGTGCCTCGCGCTTGTTTTTTTTTCTTTCGCAAAAAAAGATGATCTGCTGAATCAATTTGAGTATTTGTCGAAGAACTAATTCCGTGAAAAGGTCTATCCATCTCATGGAACAGCATTTGTTTTGCTCTTGTGATACATCTGTGTCATCGTCATATGGAAAGGTACCACCCTTCCGAAAATCGTCCCGATCGACGGCATGGAGCAATAGAAGGAAGGTGATTTCCTTGAGAACAATACGTGTACGATTGGAGACGAAAAGCGAGTGCACAGATTTTTGAAGTCGAAAAAATCTCTAGGACACCACACGATCGCCCCTAATTTCTCCTCAGTTGTGATCAACCAGTACTTCTCTACCTTCTTTGTGATGATGAGCATTTCATATTATGGTATGCTAGAGATTCGGGAGTTCACTTTTCGGAATGAAATGTTCCCAAGTTTGTCAAGGATTGAAATGCGGGCTACGTCGTCGTAAACAGCTTGTATCGACACAGGAAAAATCTACGGCGCGCAGGGATATCTCGCAAAGTGATACCACTCTTGCTGGACTTCTATCCTGACATAGTGGTAGTTTGGTCGACTACCAAACTTTGTGAAGGCAGACAATTGTTGGAAATTCTCAGCGCTGAGTTTCTACGGGCTGCAGTAGGAGTCTCTTTGGCGGTAGGTATTTTACTACTCCCTGATCGAGAGAATCCTGATCCGCGCGCGTGTCTACACACTTCGGTACCCATAGTACCCCAATCTCACCCGCCGGGTGAAAACGGTGCTGAGGCAATCGTCAAACTGGCCGTACATGCTCGTGTCACCTCCCTGTATTTTACTACTCCCTGGTTGCTACCAAGAAAGAAGAGAAAAAGGCTCACTTCTTCACGTAGTCCTTCACAATGGACACGGCGAGCGGGGAGAGCTCCCACGTCCTCCACTTCTTGGTGGTGGCGTCAAGATAGCCACGCGCAAACCCAACAAGCTGCGCACAAACACAGAAATACACACACAAATGCACACGCACACACACATAGACATGCACGTGCAGACAGACACAGAGGATATTCAGCTGTGAAAGAAGCAAAACCGAGCCCACAGTATCAACACGAAGATGGGCTACTAGTAACGTTAAAAGAAACCAGCAGACAAACAGTACAAGGATGCCAGTGTTCACTAATTTCATGTTTATAGAAGCATCTCAGTGACTCAATTTCTCAAACGAGTACTTGTATTTGCTACAATTTCACGTCCAAAGATTGCTCAGGAAAAGCACCATACCTCAGTTCCTTTGTTAGTGGACTTCAGCTGCAGGCCAACATCAAACTTGTGTATAGACCTGCAGGGCATGGCAAGGGAAGAGAAGGACATACGACGAGTGAGAGCGTGTAGAACATGGCGAGTACAATACACACTCTAGTGGAGCACTCGCGGCTGCAGCGGCGGTGGCAATCAGCAGAGGGACAGTACCGTGCTGCGGTTCAACGGAGAACTTGGCGGATGATTGTGATAAGTTGATAACCCATCGATTGGTTTTGAACTCTAGGACATGATCAAGACTGAAGAGACGGTCTGGGTAGAGAGTGGCTGCTGTACGCAGCTGATAATTTTATATGGACCACTTGCCATTTGTACAGATCCACGAAATCCCGTAGACCCGGAAGGGTGTTGAATGTGCAGGACCCTATTGTGTTTTCTGCTATTTCCACTAAGAAATGGGGCCTGAAGGCATTTCATACGAAAACCTTTTTCTGACCTAGCTAGTCATTAGTTCTAACCAAAGTGAAGAAGCTGGAAAAGCGATTGCTGGTCATTGAATTATGATGCGAAAATTGGTCAAATGCGCATGCATAGCACACATTCAACACCCTTCCGGGTCTACGGGATTCTATGGGATTTCGTGGATCTGTACAAATGGCAAGTGGTCCATTGTGCAAAGGTCCTGGCTACCACTCGGAGTAAGTGGACCATGATAAGGATGTACAGTGCGTATCGGTTATAGCGTGGTCGTGTAAAAGAATATACTGCCTACAAGAATGAACTCTCATGTTTTCATAATCATTACATGGATTTCATGTGCACATTTATTCTTACAAGCAATTTTATCGTACAGTAGAATATATCGGTCCTAAGAATGGACTTTGTGTAGCGAAATATGCCAGATCAGTACAAAGTATATCGCCTGTAGTAATAACATCCGTCCAAAGCAGTTCTGATCTGACTCGCGTTGGGTCCTAGTGCTGCAGGTTCAACTATTGTGGTCATGTAACTCATGTTGCATAGCCACATGGTAAGCCTATGTGACTGTGACCAGCCGCATGCACAGTAGCACTACCTTGTATGTACGATGATCTTCTTGCCTCTGCGCACATGCACATGCTATGTCACACTTGATTTATCGTGTGTAAGAAATATCGGAAATAAGAATAGAAAGTCGTTTTTCAAACACCCACGCTATAACCGATACCTACTGTATATTGAATGTGTACAGTCACTGGAGCAATCATCGATGCACACCAATGACACAAAGGCCAATTACAATTACTATAACTAAACGTCTAAAGCACAGCACACGGCATTTCTGCGGATGCGGAAAACTCAGCATGACCGAGTCTCATGCAAACCGTGAATTTTAAGCACCGCGCAACAGACAGACAGACAGACAGACACTCATAGACAGACAGACAGACAGACAGACAGTCATACACTCATAGACAGACAGACAGACAGACAGACAGACACTCATAGACAGACAGACAGACAGACAGACAGACAGACACTCATAGACAGACAGACAGACAGACAGTCATACACTCATAGACAGACAGACAGACAGACAGACAGACAGACAGACACTCATAGACAGACAGACAGACAGACAGACAGACAGACAGACACTCATAGACAGACAGACAGACAGACAGACAGACAGACAGACACTCATAGACAGACAGACAGACAGACAGACAGTCACACACTCATAGACAGACAGACAGACACACTCATAGACAGACAGACAGACAGACACACTCATAGACAGACAGACAGACAGACAGACACTCATAGACAGACAGACAGACAGACAGACAGTCACACACTCATGGACAGACAGACAGACACACTCATAGACAGACAGACAGACACACTCATAGACAGACAGACAGACAGACAGACAGACACACTCATAGACAGACAGACAGACAGACAGACACACTCATAGACAGACAGACAGACACACTCATAGACAGACAGACAGACAGACAGACACACTCAATAGACAGACAGACAGACAGACAGACAGACACACTCATAGACAGACAGACAGACAGACACACACTCATAGACAGACAGACAGACACACACACACTCATAGACAGACAGACAGACAGTCACACACTCATAGACAGACAGACAGACAGACACACTCATAGACAGACAGACAGACAGACAGTCACACACTCATAGACAGACAGACAGACAGACACACTCATAGACAGACAGACAGACAGTCACACACTCATAGACAGACAGACAGACAGTCACACACTCATAGACAGACAGACAGACAGACAGACACACTCATAGACAGACAGACAGACAAACTCATAGACAGAGAGACAGATAGACCTTTTGACGCCCATCGCCGGAAGCGATGATAGAGATGCTACAGCAGAACCCATAGCAACTTGTGCTGGGATTGCAGCATTCAACAGCTTGCAAGGCAGAATGATTGACCGCCACTATTCAGCCTGGTCTACACCACACAGCTATAGATAGACAGACACAGACACAAACACTCACCCTCCAGGTTGCGGTCGCTCTACCTTGAGACTGGAGACGATGCGCGCCAGGAGCCCCGTCGAGATTCCGGCCTCACGGGCGACCGCATTCAGAGGGACATACACCTCAGCACGCTCCTAGCGACATACACAACACAGAGAATACAATCTAGTATATCATCCACACATGTTTCAACGGAAAGATCTGCTAGCAAAAATTGCCAAAAATCCTTTTGTCAATCCAATATTCTATAATATTCTTGACAAACCAGCGGGATTTTCAACAACCAAAATATCCCCTTCATATACACAACAACAGTACAAAGGGCCGGCGGAACCGGTCAGGCTGGTCCGGCCATGGCCGGACCACTTTCCCAGCTGGATGGTCCATGTGATTCGTGCAAAACCGGTGTAAAAAAATCCAGAGGTACATGACTCGACTGTATTGCCGACGTGTGATGTGCTTCGAAGTAGCTCAGGACTCCGTGACCGGCACTGTATGGCTGATACGGATAAAAAAAAGTTGTGTTTGTGTTCTTTTACTATAATTTTCTGCATTTTCTGGAGCCTTAGAGATGCCCAAATTCGCTCTATTTCACGTAAATTTTAAATAAATCTCCCGGGGGAGGTCCCCCGGACCCCCTCAAAAGTTCGCCGGACCACTCCCAAACTCCTTCCTCCGGCCCTGGTACAATACAGATCGGATCTGTCAATCCAGCGACCTCCCCAATGCAGCAAAATGCCCGCCACACAATTGGTGCCAGGCTAAAAAGGGAGCAACTGCACTTGAAAAAAGAAGAAGCTCGGTGAGGGCACCCCACCATCTATCTCATCGTCCCATCTACATACCTTGTGTGAGCGGATGGCACTCAGCAGGCTGGGCTCCTCATGCTGCTCTACCTGGACATGAATGCGAACCTGCTTGTTCAGCTCCACATTCTCAATCTGCACAAAATACAGACACACACACACACACACACACACACACACACACACACACACACACACACACACCACACACACACACGCGAGCACATGCATACACGCACAAAACAGTAGGCATTGGTGGACTCAGAAAACAGCACTGCCACGCAAACTGTGCAAGAGCAAATCAGAACAATACAGAGTTTCACAGTGCACCACAACTTCTCTTGCATATGATGGGCTTAGTGAGGTGTTAGCGCCCCCCTACACGCATGCACAGACACACAGACACACACACACACACACACACACACACGTGTTGCTCACTGCCAGAACTGGTCATGTGGGTCTCCCCGGGAGAGGGGAGAGAGACTCAAAAGGAATCTTGGAAAGATAACTCAATTGGCTATTGAACCCCCCAACGGCCGACGCCCCCTGAAATCCCCAAAACTCTGGGTGGACTTGAAAATGATCCCACTTATGGGCTCACCACACCTCAGTAAGTGGGTGAGGACAAGGTGCAGAAAAAGGATTGACGGCATCAGGGTATCCGTCCCGGGATCCAACTGCAGTTACCCCTGCCCTCAGTGAAGGTAATAGTTGCTACTAGTGGGGGTGGCTAAATCAGAGTGGATCTGATACGAGAGAGCTTGGAAGCTCAGGGCCCTACGCTATGCTTTTTTTGCCTTGACGACCTAGGCAAAAAAAAGCATAGGGATGTTATAAAAATTTCCTTTTTCCTTTTTTTTTTAGCCTTTATAGGAAAGACAAAGGGCCAAGGAACTACAAGTTACCCTACACAGTCCACTTAGACCATCAGTTACTGGCCAAACAGCTCATGCGATGACATTGCAAGACACTGACCAACGCAACGGTGCTGGCGTTCTCTACCACTAACTGGCAATCAGCTCCAGCACATCTCGGTCGTACACTCCAACAGCCTTCCAACTTGGAAAGCCTTCTAAGTTCTATATGCGTCGGCAAAACAATCCGGCCAATGCTATGCTACTAGCTACCATATAGCCGCGTGCCCTGCCACTGCGCGCTAGCACCTGTACTACTACTAAGTACTAGCCCACAGTGCACGGCACATGCTGTCGGGCCTGCACTCTGCACTGCAGTACGTGTACACTGTACTGACATACTGGCATTGGGACAGCGCAGTGCTCGACTAGACTGTGCATCATGCAGGCAGAGTGCAGCAGCGCGCACTGTTTAGTTCAGTGCTGTGCTAGAGATAATACCGCCGGTGAACGCGTACCATACCAATGTTATGTACATGACTTGTGTCAAGAGTCCATCACCCGGGGTTATGGGCTCTTGCTTGTATCCATGGCATTGGCCACACCTTTTTGGCGACGACTGTACAATCATGTACTTTGAAGTAAGACAGATGTAGTACTAACATTCGAGGGGAACGTGCTTACGCTTGTCTCGGTTGCGCACACCTTCCCCTCCTATGTTAGTACCAAAACTTCTTTAGGTGGAGCCTTGTTGAAAGCGAAAGTGTCTCAGCACGTCGTACTATAGGAAAGGTAGAGCCAAAATCGATATGCCCTAAACAGAGGTGAGTTTAGAAACAAGGATGAACGAGGAGCTTGCCCATATACTTGTGAACGGCTTTTTTCACACGTAATGACTGCAAGATACCGCCTGCACAGTATTTCCTGCTTTTGGCAGTGCTGCAAGACGCACCTCGCATAGCACCTACACACAAAACTAGGCACAAAGGAGGCTGACAGAGTTCGCCGCAACCCAAGAGTGTCTTGCACAATGCAGTCATTGTGCGACTAAGACTTCGGAAGATGTCCTCCTGCAGTAGCGGCCTAGCCTGACTCCCGACTACGACGTCACACTACATACTAAGTATGCGCAAGAAACAAAATCGTTCTCTTTGGCCTCAACTACTTCTTTGTTGTCCGGTTGGCCATTGTAGCCGTCGTCTAGGGCCCAGTTTAAAACCCTGATAAATTAGTGACCCCAGACGCTGCGCTCTGCGAAGTTTTCCCAATGCCTGCCATCTATGAGGTCTCACGGCAGTTCCTGCTCGCCCCACTCCTCGGGATGCCGTCAATCGCCGGCTGCTGACGTAAAACTTGAGCCTCACCACCACTCGACCCTGGATCCGCCTCGGAGCTGCTGTGGCCCCTGCCACCCTCCCGGCCAACCTGGATACCCGGCTATCCTGCCACGGCGCAACATCCAGTCGTGTACTTCGTGTTCGTCCCGGTCTCAAGCTGGAAAGCGGTCAATAAAGCCAGGTGGTCTTTAGAACCAGGTCTCCAGCTGATCAGCACAATAGTCCGTTACTAATCGTTACTTTCGTAGTACATGGTGTTGAAGTACCAGCATTGTATTCGTCATGATTCGTAACGTACCGGCTACTGTGGCCTGGTGAGGTTGGCAACAGTAGGCAATAGGACTTGTTGGTGGCCGTGCATTGCACACGTAACTGCTCTTGTGTCGTATATACCTCCACTAGTCTGCTGGGTTTTCACTCAACTGTGCATGGACTGTAGTAAGTAAAAAAATAGAATTTTTTTGCCAGCCAGTACATGCTAGATGTGTTTAATGACCAGCCAGCAACCTTTCTAGGCGTCCCGTCGTGCATAGGTCTTACGCGATGCGGATTTCAATTCACTGAATTGGGTAGACCCTTCTAGACCCGCGTATTTAGAAGTTCTTTTTTTTGCAGCACTCATGCACTTCTTTCCAAGAGGTCTTGGAGTCAGACTAAAGCTGTTGTTGAAGAAGTTCGTTTTTACTTCGCTATTCAGGTACTGTTTAATCTATCCAATATGAAGATAGACACTTCGCTTCAAAGGTCCAATAGCGGAATTGTGAATAATGCTGGTCCGATAACCCAGCCACCTTCTGCCACCTCCATACCGCCAGTCAAGGACTCGGCCGCACCTTCCCAAGGTGTTGCGACGCCGATTCCGGGCAACAAGGGTATGGTCACTCCGACACCAGAGTCGTTTTTTGGGGCAATGCTACTGCCCTCTCGGTCTTCTGTCAATGCTGAGATGCTTGTCAACGCGGACTCCACAGGAAATGGGTATCACACACACACACACACACACACACACACACACACACACACACACACACACACACACACACACACACACACACACACACACACACACACACGAATTCTCTGATGATGTCCAACAGCCTAAGCATTCAGACTAAATTAATCTTTTCACTCTCGTCCAGTCAAAAGTGAAGGCTAATGAAATAAATGTGGTGTGAGCATAGGGCAAGACACCTGAGTAAGTCAAGAACAGTAAAGAGCGCTGAAGCAGCAAAGACATCCATGCATGTTCGCAGATGTGTGTGTATGTATGTGTATATTGGCAGATGCAAAAGGAGATACGTCCACCCCCCCCCCCCCCCCCACACACACACGCACACACAGAGCACACTAACCTTTCCGGCTGCTCCGTAGTAGCGACCAGACAGCACAAAGCACTTGGCACCCATGGGGAACAGCTCGTTCAACGTGGGCAACAGAACGCCGTCGTCGGATGCAGCCGCGACACTACCGCCAGCGGAATCCACTTCCTCAATATCCTCAGTGGTGATCGCATTAGCAGCACTGGCTGCTGCACGGGCTTGACGCAACGTTGGAATATCCTGAACACCCGTCAAAGCAATTGCCAACAGTAATAAGAAAAATATTCAAAAGTTTCCATGGAGATAGGAATGATATTAACGGAATGGATAGAGTGAGCTGCGCACTCAGTACGAACACAATAAGCAAAGAATACATGTCATGCACATCCATATTCCTTGAACGTTTTCGAGGCCATCACATCACAGTGAGCCATACATGAAAGTCTTTACTTGACCCTGCTGCTAAGACTGCACCGAAGCATGAGCTGTCGATCTTGGACTGCTTGCCTATTTCATGGCACTCACTACATACTGGACACCGCTGGTCCAAGTCAACATTTGTACTTCGAAACAGGGATCCATTATCAGATTCTGATGGTGGATCCTGCATGCACCATACACTATGCGCGTGGCTGAGAATGTGATCTTACCTTCACGATGGTTTGATAACAGATGGGTGATGGATGCTTCGACCATTGCTTCTCCAGGCTAATCTTACCAGTCTTGCTGTCACAAACGAATCTGCACTCCACCAAACATACACACATCCATGCATACACACATGCATACACACATGCGCCCACAAACACAAAACAAATCACTTGGTCAGCCCTTGGTAATATTATCCAATCAGCAACTATCCTTATGAGAATCACAGACCCACAGACCCACACAAATAGGAAGCAGAATTAAGAGAGAGAGAGAGAGAGAGAGAGAGAGAGAGAGAGAGAGAGAGAGGGAGAGAGAGGGAGAGAGAGAGAGGGAGAGAGAGAGGGAGAGAGAGAGAGAGAGGAGAGCATCTACCCACCGTTCTCCTTCACAAACGTTCACACAGAGCAACACATCAGTGACGCCTACTTCCAAGCCTTTACGAGATGAGTACCTGAACGAGGGATAAAATAGACCACAACACACACACACACACACACACACACACACACACACACACACACACACACACACACACACACACACACACACACACACACACACACACACACACACACACACACACACACACACACACACACACACACACACACACACACACACACACACACACACACACACACACACACACACACACAAAGACATGATGATGTATCCACAGAGAAGGAAACTAAAACTGTATTAGTGCGATGAAAAGCAATACTTTGTTAGGCGGACATCGAGCGTAGCAACCACTATAACACAATGAAGTTTCCGAGGTGACTTTCATGAGATACTCACCAGGGAAAACCAGCTCAAAAATACTATCATCGCCAACATTGCTTAGGAGTTCAAAGTTGAAGCAGAATAACACAACCATCAAGTACGATTTTCTTCTTCGAATATTCGAATGTTTACTGCCTGCTTTCGAATACTCTTTCTGATGTCGGTATTCTAGAATATTTCGAAGATTCCTTCAATTTCCTTGCATGGCTAGCAGAAAGTGCTTTCAATTATTTCCTTTCTCCTCGAAAGTGTGCCAAGTTTCTAGAGCCAGCGGGGGGTATCAGGGGCGGATCCAGGAGGGGTTCCCGGGTTCCCCGGAACCCCCTAAATTTCGTAAATGTACTACTGGTAACCATATGCATGAACATGTATCAGCTACTTGTATTCAGTTTTGACTAAACTGGAACCCCCCCCCCCCTGTAGAGATCGCTGGATCCGCTGCTGCATGTCCAGAAACCTGTTGAGCCCAACCTGTGGGAGAAGTTTCACTGCTCGTCTTTGCAAAGATAAAGTCCTCTCTCTGCTGAAGGATCTCAAGAAACAGGACAGGCAGAACAGGCAAAAGCAAGTGGGCGATTTGTACTAGCCTTGCGCATCTGTTCAAGCTCCCTTGATCGAACCGGGACGTGAGAATTGCATTCTGTTGTGGTAGCTTGTCGAAGAAGGTGCATAAGAGCACTTGCAAGAGACGACATCACAGCTCCAGACGGAGGAGGCTGAGGCTAGAATTCGGAGGGCTACAGCCATCCGGAATGACGAGAAAATTCCGAATGCCACCAGTGGAACAAGAAGACTGTTAACACGTGAAGTGTTTAACCATAAATACTGTTATTTGAATTATGTACGAGAGAGAGAGGCTGCATTATCCCAGCTCGCACAGGAACTATCATCACCGGCCACTCTCTCTAACCGTTACATTTGCTCCATTGCCCAAGATATCATGTACGGTGGCACCAGGGTCGTCCCAAGTTGGAAGTGCTTCCTTGGTGCTTCATGCACGATAGGCAGAATCACACCTGCTTCAAGTGTCATTCTATTGGATGCAGATGATGCACCTTCCAGACACCCATCCTGATGTGTGGACCAGTTCTTGCGCCAAGGCGGTTTCTGCGTCCATTGGTCAAATGCTTTCGCGTGGATCCCCGCTGATCAAGCCATCGGTCCGCTTTCCTTGCTGTTTCGTCTTCTCTGTTTTCTTTCTTCAGTCGCTGCATTAGTTCGTTTTGCAGATTTCCACGTCGATGAACGATGTGGTCGCCATCTTTACGCAGGATCTTGAAGGGTAGCTGCATGCTGATTTAGCTGCTTTTTTCCACATGCAGTGATCGTCTTTCCCAATTTACACTGATATCAATTTATGTACATGTATTCCCACTCACGTTTGCAACATACGAGTAAACTAGTACTTGTCCTTTGTGTTCCTGTGGGTTGGGAACGGTACGGCTGTGATCCGAAGCAAGCAGACTATCAGCCGAGCTACGAACACCGTAGTTGGTATTATCGGTACGCGTCGGCATTCTGCAAGTGTACTGATTAGCTCACTCGATAGTGGCATGGTTCGCTCAAAGGTTCAGCAACACGCTCGCTTCATACTGGTACAGTCGTCCCTCTTAATCCAGCACTTTACTATAAACCAGCACCCTCAATGGACCAGCACAATTTTTTAAAAGAAGCCAAAATGACCTATTCATGCCCACTGCAACAATTAATCAGGTTTTTAAATCCAGCAGAATTTCCACTGTACAAGTGGTGTCAGATTACAAAGGGACCGCGGACCGCAAAGGGACCGCACACTACTCCGCAGTCACATGACACTTGACAGACCCGCCAACAATACTAATCACATCACCATAGCGACGCGACTAGCGGCGCATAGTGAAACTTACTCTTCGGTCAGGACGTCGACATCACGGAAGAACTTGGAGTTTCCTTCGCCGCTCTGCTCCTTGATCACAGCCTGGCCGTCCGCTGTCAATTCAGAGCATCTGCAACAGGACAATGAACACATACCGTATTTTCCGGAGTATAAGCCGCACTGGAGTATAAGCTGCACCCCATTTTTCACCATGAAATACAGACATCTACTACAGTACAGTACTACTGCTCAATGAAATCCAGTCGCGTCGCTCAAGTGCGCGCCGGGCGTTGCGCAGCCATAGACCTGAGAACACTGGGCTGCGAAATGACGCAAGGTGCAAACTTGAGTGACGCGACTGGATTTCATTGAGCAGTACTGCAGTATCCTATCTATCACCGTTAAAAGCCGTACCCCATACTCTGGAAAATACGGTACATGTACATGTATAGCCAGGGTCATTGTCATAGCAAGCACCACACGAGCATGGAATTATCAGTAGTGGGGGTTAATATCAAATTTATGTTGGTATGGCCTGAGCAAGCTTCTAACGCAGTCAAACATCATGGCACATGTGTGCGTGTGTTTGTCCGTGCATGCACGTGTGTGTGCATGTGCGTGCGTGCGTATTCAAAATCCCCAAATCGTCTCTGGATTATCATCAGTGCAAAGCACAATACCAGTGGCATTGAGCATAAGGCAGGCATTGTTTCATTGGAAAGCTTACATTTCAGCATCAGACATGACAGAGATGACCTGTGCTTCCACCAGGAATGGAAAGTTGACAAACACATTCTTGCCAATCAGCTCCTTGGCGGCAACCTCCACGGTCTACACAGGCACACACACAGGCACACACACAGGCACACACACAGGCACACACACAGGCACACACACAGGCACACACACACACATACACACACAGGCACACACACACACCCACACCCACACCCACACCCACACACACCGAACATGCATATTTTATCAAGCAGCCCACCAGGAGCCATGCCCGAAGGGCCATCAGTGCTACCAGCAGAGAAAAGAAAGAAAAGCCAAATGCTGCAGCAACAGCACTACCAGCAGCAGTTGCAGCGGCAGGAGCAACGACAGCAGTAACAACATCACCAGCAGCAACAGCAGCATCACTACCAGCATCACTACCTGCATTACCAGCATCACAAACAGCAGCAGCACCAACAGCAGCAGCACCAACAGCAGCATCACAAACAGCAGCATCACAAACAGCAGCATCACCAACAGCAGCAGCAACATGGGGAGGGGTTGTACATCTTTATCGTACAGTCATGTGTTTTATCTCATGGGAGTGGTTCACACGAAACATTACCAATGGGTGGCCGCACAGCATCATCATCGTCGTCATCATCATCATCATGGCGTACTCACCGCTCCTTCATCAGACATGCAGAGATGAACAATCATGTTAGAGTTACGGCTGGCTTGCTGGAAGATGCGCACGCCGGCCTTGGTCAACGCCGTCTGCAACAGGAGCACACCGTACAGCACATAGAAATGCAGAAACCATGAATAGAGCGGTTTCTCATCTGTCACATGACCGTGCGGGGCAACCATGTTGGTTCCAACTCCACTCAACCACTGCATCCATGGGTCACATGATGTCGGTGGCCATGTTGTTCCACTGTCCCCATGCCATGATCACTATCTACACAAAATTTAGTCACATGACAAACTGATGTGAAACACCACTCAATGGGGCACACGACTTGTGCACGACACAGGCCAAGTACAAAGCAAGCCCATTGCTGCACACTGCATTGTACAGCCTGGGACCTGAAACTTGCATGGCCGAGTGCAACTAAGTCAGTACGGCATGAGAGACCTTACGTACATGTAGTGTACTAAGGTCACACTTAGCATATTTTTTGTGTGGAGCTGGAATCCGCTTGCAGGTGAACTGAGCACAGGTTGAGTGCACACCATGCAATACGTATACAAAGTACATGTTGTATGACCTACAGACAGGACACCACCTCCACAGCACAACCATAAAAGGGAGGTGGTGGTGGTGGTGGTGGTGGTGGTGTGTGTGGGTGGGGGCTCTGACGGTATGATTATTATGGTCGATACCGAATAGAGGTAACTTACACGATGGGGAAGATGCTTCAGAGTTGGAAAGCCAGGTGACACCACGTCCAACATTACACCATCGCACAAGCCTACGCAGAAGAGCAAGCGAGATAAAGAAGAAAAGAAGAATAATGAGAAACCGTGCCATCAAAAGTCAAGGGAATGTCGCAAATTCGACCCACACAGCAAGCGAGTGCCACATACTGCGGTCTGAGGCTGATGATAATGGTCACGTACCAAATCCTACCTGCATCTACTGCAGGAAAGTCTCATAACTAAGCGCACGGCGTACAGATGTACCGGTATCATGGTCAATACTGGTGGCATCGCATGTGTCATTGATCAGTGCAATTCACGGCGGTGTCCAGAATTCAGAAGCCCACCGGATAACCAGACATACACCAAGGGTGGCGTTTCCACTTCAAATACCTTTTCCCGATCAGCCAATGCCAAAATTAAAATGCTGCAGGTTCCATTCTTCCAGGGAAAATAAATTTATTACAGTGTCGTAATGAGTGTTCTGTCCGACTCACCAAAGATAAGGTTATCTGGGTCTGTGGAAAAGGAATTCGCTGGTAACTTCTCCTCTCTGGGACAAGACAAAGAAAGAGAGAAAGGTTGTGAGCATGACGAAAGGACACACGCACACATAGACACACTCACCCAGACACCCACATACGCAGACACACAGGCACTCGCACAGAACAGAAAGTGCACAGTATCGTACCCACGTGGGGTACTGCTACATACACTGACTACAAAAGGCAAACATGTACATTATACCCCCCCCCCCCCCCACACACACATACATAACACTTGCCCATGCTGGTACCGGCTACAGCAGCAAGAGCAAGCAGCAAGCAGCAACAGCATCAGCAGCATCAAGAGCAGAAGCAAGAGCACGACTACAATAAAGTCACAACGCAAGGAGTGCATAACATGGTGAGGTGCAGTACACCAGCACTACTAACTTTGCCGTGCAGTGCTTGATGGGTGGGTGCAGCTGCTGAGGTGAAGCGTACGTGAAGCTGATCGACTTGTCATACGTGTAGACAAAACACTTGCCATGGCGATTGCGGCGTTTCTCTTCCGACTCCAGCAGCTCCTCACGGGAAGACATTGCGGCAACAAGTCGGTCCTACAGCATGCAAACGCACATACATGCACGCGCGCACACACGCGCACACACGCGCACACACACACACACACACACACACACACACACACACACACACATCTAAACAACCCTGGAGGGAACATCACTGAAGGCGACGGTTGCATTCACCATCCCCGATCTAAAACCGTGTGCTGCCCCACTGGCCCAGTCACCAACTTGCCAGGCCGAGGAATTCGATGTGGCCTACACACATGGCTGATCCTTACCGGACTCCAGACAGGTGTCATTGCATAGGTAAGTGGCCTTTTTTTCTCATCAACCACCGCACCATAAGGCATAACTGCACTCTCCAGCCGGCCTCGAGGTCGGCTGGAGCGCGCACAGTCATGGGGTGGTGGTTGATGAAAAATCTATACAAGGCCGAATGCTGCTGTTTACCCTTTATATCCATTAGGTCAATGACCAGGGGTCGGAATTTAGTTGCCAGTGCTGTACATGGAAAATCAGAATGGCGTAGGCTACGACTCTGCCCCCCCCCCCCCCCCCTCGGCACCCGGCAGAATTGTAGGCATTAGCAGCCATGTTGAGCATGATGATGATGATGATTGCCTACATCACATACCTGGTCAATGAATGGAATAAGTACCACGGCTTCCCAGTCTTGCTTCTTCCCGTTGAGATCAGACTTGAACTTGACCGGGTAGAACTCAATGATTTCCGAGCTGGGAGATGTCATCAGATACTGCATACACACAGACACAGACACACACACAGAAGATAAACTACATGTAGCGAACAGGTTGAACCAGTATTATAGACAAGGCACTGTCGATAATTTTAAACTAAGTCTATACAACCTCCTTCCCCTCACATACACACACACATACACACACACACACACACACACAGAGCTGTCCGAAGTAGAGGTGCAATTCACTCGGGATGAACTCGGAGAAGACATAAACTTGCACAGTGCAGCCAATGTACCATGCACACGCTCACGCAAGCACCCATGCCCCCCCCCCCCCCACACACACACACCACACAACAATAGTATAGGTAAGCCATGTTTGGTTGAATACTGTAAATATACAAATTTTCGGCAGCTATTTAATTTTGGCTATATTCGGCACCGACCCAAAACGCCTAAATTAAAACGCCGATGAAATTTTTCACAGCATCTGTCGCACTATACCATGCCCTCTACCCCACGCCGAAAATAAATCGCCAACGAAATGTCAAAAATCGTGCAGTGCCGAAATTTTGCAGCGCCGAAATTTTGTATATTTACAGTAACATGTTGATTGATTGACAGCATGTTACAAGGCGGAGGACGCACTGTGTCGAAAACAGTGCTAGTGACCGATGATGGCTGAAGTCAGGAGCACTGTTTTCGACACAGCACGCCCTCTGCCTTGTAACATGCTGTCAACTGATCAACACGTATGCAACGAATAGAAGCTAGCGTACCTGGAATGCTTCCGGCAGCAGCTCCTTACTGAGCGACGGTAGCACGGCAAGCAACTGCTGGAATGGCAAGAACGGAGTGCCCAACTCAAAGCTGACATCGGTCTCGGTGATCTCGTTCTCCACAACATCGTGAAGAAAGGGGGAATAGTGATAGGGAAAGTACCAACTCCACGAGGGCACGCCATGGTAATAGTACAACAGAATCCACTGGATGCCGCGAATGTAATGCTGACACATCTCATGCAGTTGTTCCCTATGCCAGGTAGGAGACACACAGCCGTGAAAATGCACACAAACACACGCGCGCAGAGCAGGTACACATGTGAACTGTCAATATGCACAGGTACATCTACCTGCGTGAATACACAGACCCACGCGGGCACGAGGCAGTCGCTCGGACACAGAAACAATGCATGCAGCACAATAACACAAGAAAGAAAGAGGGTGAGAGAGAGAGAGACCAAGAAAGTATAATTATTGTAGTCGGAGTGTAAGCAGGGGCAGTAGCGGCAACACCATAGATACGCACCACGCCGGCGTGCCAGCACTTACTTTGTAATGGCCTGCTCCGATTCATACAGCTTCTCACTGTAGTAGTCCCGACGCTTCTTATCAAAAACGGCGATGGCAGCAGATGACGGTCCTGCCGCCACCGCTCCCTCAGTGCCATCGGACGCCGTTTCATCAGCGTCTTGGGTAGGAGCTGCGCTGTTACCAATTGGTGCCCCAGGCTCAAAGTCATCCAGAGCGTCGGCATCAAGCAGTGCTGCTGATGAGTCTACACAGTTTGGAAGAGAACAAACGTACAAACGCACAACAGTCATGATACCGGACACAGATACTTCCTTCAAGTAGCAGACAGGCACAAATAACTGTAGACGATGATGGTACCCATATATCCACCAATGTATTCCACGCATGTATCCAGACATGCATCCACGCACGCATCTACTCATGTATCTACGGATGTATCCCACCCATATATCCACGCACGTATCCCGTCCAAACGGTCCACCACCCGTCCACCAGCCACCCAACAATATGCAGAGAAGTCAACACACTTTGTACCTACTTGTACCACTGGGAGCTTCCTCGTCTGAGAACTGCTCAACCTCTCGCGCACGATGTTTACGTCGTTGGGCTTTCTTCTCCTACAGAATGTGGATGTGCACAGACGCACAAGGAGGGGGAGGGAGGGAGAGATAGATAGATAGAGAGTGGGAGTGTGTGTGTGTGTGTGTGTGTGTGCATGTGCATGTGCATGTGTGTGTGTGTGCGTGTGAGAGAGAGAGTGAGAGAGAGAGAGACCAAACACACAAAATAAACCGAAAGAACAGGCACACACTACTGCACCAATACTCTTATTACCTGACTGTCGGGGTAGGAGGCGCAGAGTGCTTCTACAGTAGTCGAATTCTGTCTCCAAGCATGGGCCATGATGGTTTTAAAAACGTTACTTTACAGTACTTCATGTCGGTACATGCTATGGTGAAGAGCCAGTGAAAACTCACAGACGGTATTGTTAGGGGGCGTCGCAAAAGTTTTTTGTTTTTCCCGAAACGAATATCTTTCACGGGGGGAGTGAGTCAAAATCGTGGACCGACACAGTACATTTACATGTCCATGCATGAGATCCATGTCGCCCAACATAACAAACTGAGTTCATTTCGGAGTGGGTCAGAGTACGAAATGAACGATGTTCGTTTCAGGGACGACAAGATAACTGTTGCGATGACCCCTTAGCTACATGTAGTACACACATGGTAGGGTTCTTCAGAGGCAAGCCTACCTCCACACGCTTGCTTTTAAATCCGCCCTCGGATTGCTTGTGCTTCAAGTACTCGTCGTCGTCCAACTGCTCCTGAAAATAGTCAAACTGCCACTGTACATACACACCCGAGCACATGTGAACACACATGAGTACACACATACACACGCACACACACGCACACGCACACACACACACACACACACACACACACGTATGTATACATACATACACACACACACACACACACACACACACACACACACACACACACACACATACATACACACACACACACACCACACACACACACACATACACACATACACACATACACACACGCGTGCGCACACCCACACGCACACACACACGTACACACAGCATCGGTCACAGTGAAAATGGTGCACTGAGTATCCAAGCGTAGACACGCAAGTCGGCCAGGCACACAGACAGTGCTGAATGGATAAGAGATGAACAGATCGATAAAGGACTATCTGGTATTATACTACAATCACCAAACTCCAAAGCCCCATGGCAGCAGCAGCAGCAGCAGCATTACTGCTCTACCTTGGATAGTGCTTCTAGGAAAGTCTTGAAGATGTGCAGGTTGATGGTGCCATTCAAGTGCAAGTAGTCTGCGTACAGAAATACACGCACGAATATGGACACATACGCGCATGCACATACACACACACAAACAAAACACACAGCCCATAGGCTTAGATTAAAAATAAAAAGTGTCGCATAACACCCAGCCGATAGAAAGCAGAATGTCTACACAGTACAGTACTGGACATAACACTGTAGCACTGCTACGTACAAGACTACACACTCTACCTCAGAGGCAGGCATAGTCCAGTTGAACAGGGGAGATGTTAGTACTGGACAAACACTGTAGCACTGCTAAGTACAAGACTACACACTCTACCCCAGAGGCAGGCATAGTCCAGTTGAACAGGGGAGATGTTAGATCACTGAAAGCACCATTCATTTCCCCTGTTGTCGTACTGACTGATGCCCTGCATAGTATATACGTACTGCCATTAGGCCAAGACACCCATAACAACTTGCCACCGCTTCTCACATACTTATACTCCAAATACGAGAACATCTACATGATCTTTAAAATTTATGTCTTCTTGTTGACTTCTTCAAGTTGCACGACGAAGTGTTGAAGCTTCAACGCGCAATACACATAAAGCACAAGCACACGCCAGGAGAGCGCCAATCACCAATGTCTCGACGCACACCGCGTACCGGCAGTGCACGCATGACATCCTTACCAGTAAGCTGCGGCAGGATCTCAATGTAGATATTCCACAGGACTGGCAATGCATCCTGCGCACACAAAAAGGAACATGGAGCAAAACAACAATGTTTTAAAATGCTCACGAAACGGAACGTGACCGAACCAACACAGTGATGCACAATGCACACTAAACGGAACATGGAGCAAAGTTCAGCAAACCAACACGTCGATGCACAATACCACAACAGAAGAAACCTAGGAACACACGCATGCATAGGACACACTGTCACTCGTGGGAAATGACGCAGCTCTGAAACGAACTGTGGCAGGTACGCATCATTAGCTGCACACGCTGGGAAGTTATGTACACCCAGTAGAGGTTTTTTTATTACTTCGAAGTGAGTTGTAATTTGTCTTACCAAAATGGAGGGGTTCATGCTGCAAAAGTGCTCAAGTAAAAGGAGGGACCAGGAGATAACATGTTATAACATGTTATCCGCAGTTTGTCCAAAAAAACGAAAATCCAGTGGAACAAAAGTAAAACACTAACAGCTACAAGCAAGATATTGTGGAGTCAGAAGGCCTGAATAAGCCTATAAGCATGAATACATGCAGCCACTGACCTCATTGATGTGCATGTAAGGCAGGTGAGGTATGAAGTCATTGCCAACCAGAAAGCCCATCAGAATCCAGTCGTCAATGATGCGCTCAAGATCAAACTCAAAGTCAAGCTTATCCTGGTCACAGAACACGCACAAACAAGAACAAGAAGAACCGAGTGTCTGAACTGTCTGACCTCAGTCGTAACAGAGCTAACACGATGGAACAAATCTGAGAACTTTTGTGATGGGCGTAGAGTGTAGAGACAGACAGACAGACAGACAGACACACACACACACATGCATACACACACACACACACACACACACACACACACACACACACACACACAGCTGCAAGCGCACTGACTGACCAGCACGCATGCACGTGCGCATCCACTCACCTTAACCTCCTTAAACTCGTTGTACAAGTACTCGCGTAGTAACGAGAGATGCAGTAGATGAAACGTGGTCTCTTCGGCAGTGGTGGACCTGTGTAACAGACACAACGCAGCGTGAACAGTGACAACGCAATGCCTGCCATTAGAATACTGTAAACTGCCTAACGTTTGCGACGTATTAATGTTTGCTAATTTTGCGAGAAGAGTAGAACGCAAATATTAACCATCGTGAAATCAAACTTCAACAGTGGATGTATATGTGTGGCCACAGTGCTCCGCGAACATTTGCCATCGTGAACTTGCTGGTTCTGAGAGATCGCAAAACTTTGGTGACGCAAACATTGGGCGGTTTTCAGTAATGCTAGTAACACATCTGTTCGACAGAGTGCCAGAACAATTTGCAAACTTAATTAATCAGCACTAATCACACACAGCAACAGTGGTCTTCTAGAACAAGTGGTCGCCTTATCCGAGTGGTCGGTCGCATTGACAGGTTTTACTGTATGAGCTAAACAGAGTCAAGTTGGATCCAGCATCAGATGCTAGTACCTTCGCTGTGCTTTCCTCCCAAACACCACCTCTTCACGCAGCAAGGCAAAGTGAGGCTCGTGTGACGCCAGGCCCAACATCATCTATACGTACGGCACGCAGTGGCATGCACGTGCACATACACCCGCACACACGTGCACACACACACATACATGCACATGTACACCCACACATACATACATGCACGCACCCCCCCCCCCCCACACACACGCGTACACACACACACGTACACACGTACACACACGTACACACACACACACACACACGCACACAGACACAACAACACAGACAGAGAGTATGGGTTAGAGACACTAGTAAGCAGCAATGCATTCAAGTCCTTGCACTCTGGTCACGACGGACAAGTCAAATCACACCACTAGCTTGCTAGTGACACATGCACACGCATGCCATAGTTGCTAATGGCACATGCACACACATGCCACAGTCAAAGCGTCCTGTGCTGCTTAACAGTACTGTTAACACAGTACTGTTGGGCGCCGAAGAACAGAGCGCTGAAGAACGAACAGGCTAGAATTTCACCAAGCACAGAATACCAATGTATACACGGTGACTCAACTGTGTGCATGGACTGTAGAACATCAAAAACAGAACGGTCCAGGCTAGGAGGAGGCTGCCCCCACCCCCGTTCTTTGGCAAGTGACAGAGTACTATATGGTTGCACTGACCAGGTCGGCGTCGAGGCCGTACAAGCAGTGCCGAGTGTTGGGATTGTAGCCCGGCTGCGACTTCTCGTGCCGGATGAAGTCCATGATCTTGTGTTCGCCCTCTCCTGGCACCTGCTCAGCAAGCGTGCACGTGTGTGTGCGTGCGTGTACAAGACAACAAGGAACAAGGAGACCGCAATGCAGTTAGAAAGAGAAAACCAAAGTCAAGAAACCCACCTCTCATAGTCATGTGACCTACATAGGCACGGTGGAGATCATGTCAATGACATCATCCTATTCGTATAACTGATAGCAGCAAATAACTACTTGTACTGATATCCTACATGTACAGCATGAAGTAGTCTTCTGATGAGTACGTTGTAGCGAGAAACTAGAGACAGACAACACATCCACTGGACCCCATGTGTACAATATATGAAGTACAGTACTGGCAACTGAAATCCAGCACTGTACATCTCTCTCTCTGAAAAAAAAAGCCGTACACACGCACGTACCTCATGTCCGGACAGGACGACGCGGACTTTCTTCCAGATGCGGTCGGTGGAGATCTTCTTGCTGATGAAGTACTTCAGCTGGTCCTGCAGGCGAACCATGAACGGCGTTCCTGGTTGGAATGAACGAGAGCAGGCAGAGACAAGACACTGACCAGTGAAGACACCCATAGCATAGCAACAAGTCACCAACCAGGACAGTTACCAGTGTTTTACACACCCGATCGTCGTCAACCGGGTACAGAATTCGCTACTAAGGCAGGAATCTGACTGCAACATTAGGCCCCAATCCAAGAAAATGAATAGTGGACAGCATATAACTACAAGAAATGGTCTGACTGGTGCTGGTTTGGTCCCTAAGAACTACATTAAAAGAAAGCCCTATGCACCAACAAGCAAGGTACGCCACTGCCCAACCAGTGCTCATAGTCAGACACATGCCCCCCCCCCCCCCCCCCCCAACACACACAAACATAGACATAATACACTATCTGCGGACAGAACTGTTTCGTCCTTTGTGGACTCATCAGCGCAGCACAGAGAAAATGAGGCCGAACCTGATAGCAATGAAAAATAAAATGCTCCAAGTCCAAAGCCAAATTTAAATCAGGCCCGAACGTACCTTGCCAGAGTTCTCAAGTGAGCTCTGCATAATATAGACACAATACATCTTCAACTAGAATAGGATCCATCGTTTTGTAACCTTTTTGGGGGGGGGGGGGGGAGGGAGGGTAAATGGCCGTATGCTTCATACTGTGAGCGGTGTGCTATACACACCACCTACGTGACACTTGACACAATCACCATCATACTTTACACTATATGCATTAGCACCTGTATTGCTGTACTGGTATTTCCTCCCGTCCTCTGGACCGAGCACACCGGCCAACAGGAGTGTGTAGGGTCATGGTGCAGGACACGATCAAGGTTAAACCGGGCGAGGAGGCATTGGTCCCATGCACATTCAGCGGTCGGTCGCCCAGTGTGGAATACCTCCTCGAGCCAACCATGGCAAGCAATAACGACACAGTCAGAGCAATGTGCTGTGTGCTGCGTCCCACGGCATTCGGGGCCACGGTACGCATGGTGAATGCAGGGAACAGTGAAGCAGTACTGCAAAAAGGAAAGGTGGTGGGAATAGCACGTGCTGAATTCGAAATGTCGCTGCAGAACCCGGCGAAGAGTGATGAGCCGAGGCGGCAGGTAACGGGGTACAAGCTGGATGAAAGCCTACAGGACAGCAAGAACCAGGAGATTCAGGAGCTGGTCAACGGGTATGGCGATGTGTTCTGGGCGGAAGGCGATCAGCTACCGACGGCAAGAACTGGCATCCAGCATGAAATACACCTCAAGAGTGATACAGCACCACAGTGGTCAAGACCTCGTAGGATGGCACCGGACGCACGGAAGGAGGTGCGGGACGAAGTCGAGTACCTCATTCAACAGGGACTGATCCGGGAGTCTACTTCGCCATGGGCTGCTCCAATAGTGGCTGCTCGGCGCAAGAATGGCCGACTGAGACTGGCAATGGAGTACCGGAGGCTAAACGCAGACAGTCATCCCCAGCATCACCCACTGCCTCTGATAGACGACTTGGTGGATCAGTTGACTGAAGCGCAGTTCTTCTCTACGGCTGACTTGAAATGCGGCTACTATCAAATGCCCATGCGTCGTGAGGATGCGGCCAAGACTGCCTTCGTCACACCGGATGGCCAGTATGAATGGACTGGTCAGGGCACCCCGTTTGGCCTGTCGGGAGCCCCGGCGACCTTTCAGCGTCTGATGTCAGCGATTCTGGGCGAACTCAATTGGACGGCTGCGCTATGCTACCTAGACGACGTGCTGGTATGGGGACGCAGCTGGACGGAGCACAACAGCCGGTTGCGGGAGGTGCTCAGTAAACTCAGGTCGGCTGGTGTACTGCTGAACCCCGACAAATGCTGTTTCGGTGTGCGGGAGGTGGAGTTCCTTGGGCACGTAATAGCAGCAGGCACAATGCGCATCTCCGAGGCCAGGACTCAGTCGTTGCTCCGCACACCTAAGCCTACAACTGTTACTATGCTCCGGAAGGCTATGGGCGCCTTTTCATACGTTCAGCGCTGGATCCCAGGCATGGCGACCATTGCATTGAAGATGGCAACAAAGAATTATTGCAAAACCGCTGTACGAAATGATGAATGGTCCTCGCAGCACGCTGCTTCAATGGAGTGAGAAGGCAAGTTTAGCATTTGAGACGCTAAAGCGACAGGTCGCCTCAGCACCAGTTTTGCAGTTACCGGACATGAAGAGGCCGTTCATACTAGTAACGGATGCATCGGACGTCGGTACCGGTGCAATGCTGGCACAGCGACGAGACGGCAAGCATCTAGTGCCGGTAACGTTCTTCCACCACACATTGACGCAGGCAGAGAGGAACTACCCTGTCACGGACCGTGAGCTGCTGGCAGTGATCCTGGCCATCAAGAAGTTTAGGGTCTATCTCTCCGGCCAGCCATTTGACCTTATCACCGACCACGCAGCACTCAAATGGATCAACAGCCTGGCGATGGATGAGATCCATGGGCGACGTGCACGGTGGCTGGATTATCTACAACAGTTCCCGATGAGACCCATCCACAGGCCAGGAACTTCACCCGAACTGAGTATGGCGGATTATTTGTCCCGGATTGGGCACGCCGAACTACCAAAAGTCATGCAGTGCCTAAGCGTTCAGCAGGAGGATAGTAAGAATGACGGCATCCACCAGCTCACCACCCTCTTCTCCATCCAGGAACTGACCGAAGCACAGCACAAGTGTCCAGCGCTAGGCCCGGTGATGAGGGAGCTGAGGGAGCCGGGCTCAGTGGGCTCGCTGGAGGAGGAATCTAAGTGCATCCTGAGGAAGAGGGCACGACTGAGGATCGGCACGGATGGAGTCCTGCGCTACTCGGAGTCGAAGGGCAGATCTACGAATCAGAAGCCCTCTAAATACCAGTACAGCAATACAGGTGCTAATGCATATAGTGTAAAGTATGATGATGATTGTGTCAAGTGTCACGTAGGAGGTGTGTATAGCACACCGCTCACAATACCATGCATACACTCACTCACAATCACAACTCCTCCATGTGAAGAAGTCAGCAAAAACAAAACGAAACAAATGAGACGCAGCAAGTCCCGTCATATGCATACCTGGTGTGATGCAGTTAGAGTCGAACCGGGCAGCATCGGGAAGCTTCTCTCCTTTCTTCCGCGCCTCCTCCTCCAGCGTGGCAGCTTCGTGAGCGGACCTTGACAATCGCACAAATGCATACATATTTGCATACACATGAGTACATATGAGTGCACCACACACATGCACACACACACACACACACACACGCACACGTACCATCACACGCACGAACGCACAGAGCACGAGGCAGTGAGCTGAACAGCCGAGCACTGAAGTACACACCGATGGCCTTCTCAACACGTTATCTCAGCTGAGAAAAGTCGCCAGAAGAAAAAGTATGAAGATATCTAAACGCTATCTCCTGAGTTGAAGTGTAAACCAATAAGAACGAACAAAAGAGATTACCCATTGATATTAAATTAATAATAAATACTATTTGCAGCATCCACGTCAGCATCATTTGAATGTTCAGAAGCACACAAGCTAGCCTTCGCATCCGCGCGGGCCACCACTATGCCGGTACACCGTTTTACCCGCTGCCACCCGTAACTCACCTAAAGCGACGTCCGCGCTGCTGGTTCATCTTGGCACGTGGTGCTACCCCGTCGATAGCCATGAAGAACACCTCTCTAGGTTTGATGATGCGGAACAGAAACTGTGACAAGACAGACGGATGGCATACGGACAGATAGGCAAAGAAACAGCCGGGCATCAAAGAGAGAGAGAGAGATGGGGAGAGAGAGGCACAGAGAGGCAGACACACACACACACACACAGGCAGACACACACACGGGCAGACACACACACGGGCAGACACACACACGGGCAGACACACACACGGGCAGACACACACACGCACACGCACACACACACACACACACACACACACACACACACACACACACACACACACACATACCCAAATAGCATTAGACATGTAACAAAGATGAACCGGATAACGCCAACTTTGAAGCACCATACTTATCCTTATCTCACTCACATGGCCATACCCACATTGAAAGAAAGCTGGGAAACGTGCTGCATGCGTTGCAGCTGATACTGGCACACACACAGCACATCTGCCTGGTGACAGCATACTCGTATAATGTAGACCAACGGGCTTCGACACAAGGTGGTGCTTCCTGCACTGTATCACACCGCTGCGTAACACAGTGCAGACTAGTGCGCATAAATGCAGTACTAGTACATGTAGTGCCGCTTCGTTTCATTCAGAGACTACAGCCGTGGCTGAAGAAATCCAGCTCATGAACCCAAAGCAGTGCCAGGGCTCATACTAGGGACTTGAATCGAAAAACCAAATTCGCGAGTTTCGCATAAAACGCTTGTTTTTTCTAAACCGAGAAGATGTGAGAAACAACCTGTGAAAATTTGAACCCAAAATTCCAAGGCAATCTAGAGTTATAGTCGATTGAAGATCGGAAAATGGGAGAGAAAGTAGTCACAGAAGTAAATGCAAGTATGTATGTGGGCCGTGTGGTTTCCGTCCAGCACTGCACTATCTGGTGCATACATGGCGATACAGGATGTGTGCATGCATGCAGTGTGCTCGCATGCCGTGCGCGCTTACTTGCACAAGTCACACGTTTTCACCGTCACTGCTTCTACAGTGTGTGCGTAGTTCACTCGATTTTCTTCGTCTACCACCAGGAAATCGCCGTGGGCTGGTTTCTGTGATCATCTTCCTTCTACCGCGATAAAGCACGAGCCTCAATGTTCTAGAATCCTCTTGGTTTAGGCTAATTCGAGGCCGCTGAACACGAAAAATGGGTGTTCCTCTCGGGGCCGAGTACGGATCTGGTCGAAATTAGTACTTCGAAGTGCATCCGCGCCAAGCGCGGAGGCATTATTTTTGGAAGCATGGCATGTGTGGCACCATTGGAAAGGTAATGACCTCAGCTACCTAAAAATAGCATCGACAAGGCCGCGGGAGAAGATACTCGGGCCTCGAACTGCAGTCACGAGGCGCCCATTCACTTTGTACAGGCGAGCTGTGACTGCATTTTTCGCTTTTCAGTGACCGGAACTGAACTCCCTGCTCATACTCAACTCAAGCCTGGTAGCAGTAGGAAAATACATCCGTTCCTCTTTTAGTGGGGCGGGGGGGGGGGGGGGAGGCGGCTACGTAGCGCATGCACACACATACACACCATGTACCACCCACCCACACATCTAAGTGGCCAGTGGCAAGTAATGATTATGTTATTATCATGAGACGAGCCGTGCTGCGAGTATTCACACAACCGCCTCAACCCGACCCCCTCCACCATCTTACTAGGCTAACATATATCACTCATGAACATGTACCTCGATATAGTGAAATATGGCTTCAAATATCTTCTCCTCGGTGATACGAAAATGTGGATCGTCATCGTTTGGATGTGAACATACGTGGACGATTCCGTTCATGTCTAGATAGAGATTGTCGAATTCTGGAATCTGACACACGATAAAATGACCATGAACACAACGTGGGTGAGTGTTCTGAAGAGTTGTCGCCAAAAGAGAATATTCGGTGACTCCCAAACCTGGTGTTCCTTCACAACTTGGCTCAACAAAGGAAATCGCTCGCTGAGCCAGCGATAGAATTTTGGTACACCCATCTTCAGGGATTCACAGCTGTGCACGCTGGACCAGACACCTAACTATCTGTTGTTGTTGTCAGAATGCAAGACAGGGTAATGAAACCAAACTTCAAAAGTAAAAAAATATGATACAAAGTTACAAACTACTTCTTGTCCTTCAAATGATTGCATTGGAGTAGAAATCAAAATGTTTACTGGGCCAGCTACAGTACAGTCAGTGCGGCTCATGTCATGATGCCTTTTTTTGGGAGACAGCTGAGACTAGTCGACTTGAGAGTGAGATCATGCATGAGGCAGGGGAGTCGTATTTTAACGACTCCCCGGACTGAACCTACGCTAGCACTAGCGAGCAGCGTCCATATATGCGGCGACATGCGCATATGCATGCTTTCAAACGCGCGCCACCGTACCGCGCGCGGCTAGATCGGGTGCAAGGCGCTAGGCTCGCGCTTGCCGGCTTCATCAGCCGCCATTTTTTCGTTTCCTGGTAACGGATGCGTAGTTACTTTGCATATTTGGCGTAGCGCACGCGTCCCACGCCATGCGTACATAATGTGTACAGCTACATATACAGCCACAGTACACAGGCACACATGACACTACAAAATTAAAATCTGATGCACTGATTTTATGGTTGCGCAAGAGAAATGGAGAGCATTTGTAGCATGTTGCGAAAATCGAATGGAAAAACATCAGGACACGGACTTGCCCTTGACGTGATCAGCTGGAGGTGTACTTCTCAGTTGCACAAGAGCAGAGATCGAGCAGTCATCCTCGTAGGTAAAGCCTACTAAAGGTGCGGAATAGTTTCTTGATCACGCAACATTGCCACTGCCAGTGTTGTCCAATTCAATTGCGCCATTCGTGGGCCTGAACAACTGCTCCCCTAGTCTGAAGGGCTGCTCCAGTTTTGAATCACTTTCATCCTTGCCCGATTTCAAAACAAATTCTAGTTCATTGTTGGTTCCCTGTGCTTTGAAAAATGACTCAGGAAGACGAGGCGCGTCGTTCTGCAGAGTTAGAGAGCTCTGCTGTGAAGGAAACACCGGATTTGCGTGCCAATCGTGGCCGTGACCTGAACCAAAGCTTGCTGCCAGATACTGACTTGAACAGGGATGCGGCTAAGGTGCTGCAGCAGAAACATGTCACTGCCAAAGACTTGTCTGTCGGCGGCAGTGCACGGAATGCCTTCCCGAATTCGAGTCGTCCACAGGCACAGGTGGCGGATGGTGCGGGGTCGCAGACTACTCCTGTGGATTCCGACGCACAGAGAGCGCCTGTTGCCATTGCTGCCCTGGGAGCGGCTCTGCCTCGGGCCAAGCGGAATGGACGTCGTGTAAATTTCATGGCAGCAGGACAATGCTATGGAATGATCCTGGACACGAAAGCTGCTGGGCCAACATGCCATGGTGTATACGTTGTTGACTACAAAATGGTGAGCATAAATATTACTAGTCCATGGATGTGCAGTGCTGGCAGTGAAGTCTGACATAACCATCAGCAGAGCCGAGCCATGCGTCCGTAGGGCCATGCAGCAGCACCCCCCCCCCCCCCCCATTCCCGTCTGATTATGATTTACGTTGCTCGTAGGAATATTTCAAATTTTCCTGGATCCGTTCTTATAGCGGTTACGGAGGCCTGCGCTTATTACTGAGCTTATTGCTGAGAAAACATGATACGTATGGGGTTTGAGCTGCTTCCGTAGACCCCGCATGTTATTGAGCGAAATTTGTGGATATGTGGAAGCCACAGATAATCGAAGCGCGGATAGGCAGGGCTGCACTGTAGTGCCGGTGTACATGTACAGTGAGGGGGGGGGGGGGGGGGTGGGGTTCGTTTTTTATCTACTGTAAGACTTGTTATTATAACGAGTTGCGAATTTCACTATTGTCCCAAATCCAAAGGTTAACGAGAAGATCCGTTAACGATCTTGCAGCCTTCCGGCATATCCACACATAACACCAAGAGTACATAACCCCCCAGAGTGTGCAACGCCGATCCAGCTCTGCATAGGGTCTTGGTCGAGCGGAATCGGATCTTCTGATGTCATGCGTACACTCCACACCAGCGCAAGGCCGGTCTCGAGGCAGGGCACCATTGTTTTTGATCCGAGAGTACCCGCGACTCCCCGGGTTCCCCTCAGATGTGTACGGTATTATGACGCAAAGATCCGATTCCGCTCGACCAAGACCCTATGCAGAGCTGGATCAGGCGTTGCACACTCTGGGGGGTTATGTACTCTTGATAACACATATCAGGCATTACAGCCTCAGCAGAACTTATTATAACGAAGAAATGCAACTCGTTAAAACGTTCGATTTACTTCCTCGCTAGATTTACATGTCTTACAGTACATGCTTGGGTAGAAACTACTTCTTTCGGTAGATGCGTTCCTTTTTTTTCTACTCAAAAGAGTAGATGCTACCTTTCTCTGCCGGCTCTACCAGGTAAGAGTTGGTAGAGGTACGGTATTTCCCGCAAGATCAAGGATTTGTGCACAACTTCGTAGAGAAGAAAACATTTCACGTGCGTATCATGAAAAACTACCAAATCCGGTAGGACAGTGTTCGTGCACTTACCTCTACCATCTACCTCAATCGGTAGAATGACTCTGCTCTGCTCTGCTCTACCGGATAGCTGAAACGAGCGCAGCCTAAAACTCCCCAGATCTGCACAGGTTGGGACCGAGCACTGCCCGTGACTCAGAACTTGCTCACTTACTGCATGCAAGTAAACAATTTGAAATGCCAATCAATAGTTTTTTGGGGCCGTTTTCGTTGAAATGCCAATTTTTTTACTGTAGATGAGTCTTGGAAGTGGCCCGTTAGACGGACATGCCCGGATCAGGGGCGTTTGGACTTGGGGAGTTTGACTGTATAGTGTACCTCCAACTTCCCCAGATCAGTACCTTATAAGTTATAGCCCGGCTACTGTATGTCCAACTGGAAATGACTGGAAAAGACTAACTTGTCATCGTCTCAACAGTGTTGAACACACATGTCCAACTGGAAATGACTGGAAAAGACTAACTTGTCATCGCCTCAACAGTGTTGAACACACATGTCCAACTGGAAATGACTGGAAAGACTAACTTGCCATCGTCTCAACAGTGTTGAACACACATGTCCAACTGGAAATGACTGGAAAAGACTAACTTGTCATCGTCTCAACAGTGTTGAACACACATGTTTTGAATGCGAAACAGATAGCAAATTGTTTAAGCTGCCATTGGTTTGGGATACTTATTCATAGAGAGCGGATGTTTTGACCGTAACATTTTGGCTGCCATTCATCCATGACCAGATCGGGCCTGTCATGTGACCCTCGCATGGCGGTTGTAAAATCTCAGGAAGAATATTGCATTGGTGTTTTCTTGGCTCCGCAAGATTCCACCAGGTGAGCGAAAAGCAACTCGCTCCAGGGGTGTGTGTTTGCATGCTCGAGTCACAGAATGTCGTTATGCCCCTACAATGCATCTACTGGGAACCGGCCAATGTTCGCGTCACTAAATTGTTTTGGCAATTTCCCAGTACCGGCGAGTTTGCGATGGCAAATGTTCGCGTAGCATTGCGACCACACACATACACCCACTGCTGGAGTTTGAGTTCATGCTGGTTAAGAGTGATACTGCGCTCTTCCTACGAAATTGAGAATATTGGAGTCCTAGATACTGTACGATCGCTAATGTTAACAAACACTTGCTTCTAACAACTTAACAAATTCGTTAAATTTTGAAGTCGTTAGGTGCGAAACAATGTACGTGTACTGTCATTTGTTAGTTTTGACAGACGGAATTCGTTAACATTTCACATCGTTTACCAACAAAAATCCAGAGATCGTTAACTTTAATTGACGTTACAATATCCTGGTCTTGCAGTAGACTGTTCCATCCAGTACTGTACATTATTATATTTCCATTGCCTTGCTTGCGTGTGTTGTTGTGCCTGACCAGATTGATCTGAAATTGGCTTGCATGACCAGGGCCGGGCGGATTTAACATCGCGCCATAAGCTGAGTCATGCATCCACAGCTCACTTCTGGCCGGGAATCAGATTTTAAGCCTGATCGGGGGCGAAGTCTGGTAGAAATGGATGGTCAGCCACACCTGACTTTGATTGTGTATGCTGCAATTACACTCTGTGTGTGTGTGTTCGTCTGTGTGTCATCTCAGACATACCATCGTCGATTCAGTTTACCGCGGGCCTTTCTAACTGGAGATCGCATAGCGGCGTTTCGCACTCCCATGCCTTACCGGGGCATTTGCGTCAAGCGTCTGAAAGTGCCGGCACGGGTTCAGACGCCAGACAAATCCAACACGGAGCCCAGCGACCTGATAATTCAAACTGTGGACGTGCAGTTCACCCCGGACCCTACCACGTCTCTTCCACCCGCGGCGCAAAAGTCGCGCGGTGTGGTCAAGGAGCCCATGCCGTCGTTAGCCGAGTCGGTCGCCAACACGGCGCGCTACGTGTGGAGTCACCCGGCCAAAGCAGCACGTAAGGAAAGGGACGGGGTAATGACGCTGTACTGTTCTTCACAGGCATTATCGGAAAAAATAATATAAAATCTAAAAAGTAAATTATCGACGAGGAGACAATAATTTTCGTATTGCAATAAGGAGGACTAGCTGAAATGACAGTAGGTTACTTTATTAAACAATGTCAAGCGATGGAAACGATGCGAAAACAATGTAAAAATAAATAAAGAGAAGTACATGTAGGAAGCAAAAACGATGGAAAAAAATGATTTGAACTAGTTTTCGTACAACACTCATCAGGAATCACCGTTGTACTTCGAAGTACTAAAGAACAAGTCAGAACAAATGAAAGGAAAAAATTGGAGGCGTATCCAATTTCGAAAGAAAAGGGTGTCAGCACCGACGCAATCCATACAGTCAAGTAAGCCAATTGAATTTAGTAACCGAACGTTTTCGTTCCCTTCTCATCATGGGTAAATGCAGGGAATAATGGAAAAAATGTCAAATACAGCAACTTATACATACAGAGCCACATGTACTATTTACCCATGATTCCCTGATTATTCCCTGTATTTACCCATGATGAGAAGGGAACGAAAACGTTCGGTTACTATATTGGCTTACTTGACTGCGTGGATTGCGTCGGTGCTGACACCTTTTCTTTCAGAACAAATGAAGTAATACCGGTAGTATTATAGCAAGCAAGGTACGGTAAGGAGGACACAATATCAAGGTGTGAATTCTCACGAAACCGTGCCCGAAACCAGGGGTGTGATAACTAAGCGTTGTATGTGTGTATCAGCAACAACAATGTGAGAATAAAGAAAAAGGGTGACAAAACCCTTGGCAGACAGAAATGGCAACAACCTTGTTTAAAGCAACTCAATGTCACTTCAGCTAGTCCTCCTTATTGCGATATAAAAAGTAAAATTCGCACATTTGCGTTACCAGCGGCCATGCAATTGTGTTGAGAAACGCAACCAGCTTAGGAAGTTTCGCTCGTGCCAGACCACCACCATGCCTGAACTACTACGGTGGTGACAAGTGAAAATGCAATCCCTGGTTCCAGTACGTCAACATACCCAGTATACGATATCATATGCGTGGTATGCGGTGTGTGTGTGTTTGTGCGTGTGTGTGTGCGAGCGTGTGTGTGTTTGTGCGTGTGCGAGCGTGTGTGTGTGTGCGCGTGCGTGTGTGTTTGTAGATTTGCGTGCTTCTCTTGCGACGGGCGTATACATGGTGTGTGTGTGTGTTCGCCAGTTGTGTGGATTAGGCAGTTATCTGGCGCTACAGTCCATTCAGAAAAAAATGAACTTCTAGCTTTTGGCCATAAATGGGTCAAACTTTGAGTTTTTTTAGAATTTTTTTTGGCAATCCCCTATGGAATCCTCTTCCAATTATGTTTCTGAAGTTTTTTTGTCCAAAAAGCAAGCCATAGCAAGAATAGGATTTCGGCCAGGTTTTGCCCCAAAAGCACAGAATTGGGAAAACCATCAAAATCCAGGCCATTTGACCCCGCCTGGCAACAGTGCATTCTGCGGTTCAAACCCCAGTTCAGGCACCCTTTTTGGACCCTTTTTCAAATTTCAAAGTTCGCAGCACTGCACTGTGTACGATGAAATCACGAAAAACCGCCAAATACGGGAGCTCGCCAGAGCCCATCTTTTTATGAATGGACTGTAGTCTTGATCTGTTTCGTTCGGATCTTGTCTGCTATCATTGTTGTAAGAGAAAATCTGTGGGTGTACATCCTATGCATTAGCAGATTTGCATGCTTCTCTGGCAACAGGCGTACACATGGTATAATGGTACATGGTGTGTATGTGTGTGTGTGTGTGTATGCTCCTCGGCTGGTGTGTGTTCAAGTTTCACCTTGACTCGTTTTCTTTGTCTTCTGCGGTCCGTGCGCAGGAGAGTCGCGCTGCTATGTGAGCGAACGCGCTGCCTTCTTCCGGCAGGAGTGGAGTCGGCGACATTCCAGCTTGCAGTTTAGTGAAGTATGTTTGGGAATGCGGGCGTGTGTGTGTGTGTGGGGGGGGGGGGGGGGGAGTGGTGGTGGTGTGTTGTTAGCAATATACAGTGAAACTTGTGTTGTTGTTAGCAATATCATACAATGAAGCTTTAGTATCATTTACCTCAACAAAGGGACATAATATGAAGGCAGCACTCTTTAGCCGACGTACATGTACTGCATATCCAGGGTCGAGTGACTGGAAAGAATGTGCAGGCCCTCCCAAGAAAGTCCTTTGCATGCAACACATCGGGATTAACGTGTTGTATCCATGGTGCTTTCAACTGCACTGGCTACACTGTTCCTGTAGCTCGTTTTTTTTGTAGGTGCACGTTACTTTTTGAATAGCTGTCCCAACTGGTCGTATGTGGTGTGTACATGTACTTGGCTGGTGAAAACGTTTCCCACGCCTGCTCTGCCGTGAACTTTCATGCCTGTACTGTAAGTCGACAAATTTTCGGCCCATTCAAATTTCGGCCTCCCAGGGCTAAAACACATTTCGGCTGCAACAAATTTTCGGCCTGTACTGCTGCTGCCTGTATGCACTGTCACACTGAACCTTGCAAAACAAAATTTCGGCTGCAACAAATTTTTGGCCTAATATGATCAGGCCGAAAATAAATATACGCCGACTATTTGTTGACTTACAGTAGCTGGAATACCCAAACGTTTGGTCACATTTGTTCTTCAGAGGGTTGCGTTCTCGTATCCCTCGAACCAGGGAAGCGCTCGAATGTGCATAAGAAACACAATGATGGCGGCGAAAAATCGCCGAAAATGAAGCAGCGCTCCTATCATGTGTAAAGAGGACCAGTGATCTTGTGACCTGCTTGATGTCATCATGAATTACCGGGAAGGGGTGGTATTGTGACGGCCTTTTTCCTTTTTTCACTTGCACACGGAGGATTGTCATCAACCACCGTAGCATTGCTTTCATGTGCTTAATCTGGACATGATCCCTGTCAACTGCATACATACTCTTGGCGTCTGATAAGGAAGGTCTCGCTTCTACATTCCAGTACCCCTTGCCTTAGGGCGCGTTCAGACTACCGATAAAAAGTGACGGAATGGGAAGGTTTCCAAGGTGATTTGATCACGTGATGTTACTGGCAAATTGCCGGCGGCGGTAAGGTTTTACTACCGTGGCGGCTGCTGCGGTGGAAACAGCGTTCCGGCAGTGACAAAGGTGCTCTGCCTGGGAGTAGGGGGCCCTTCTCAGTACCGCGGTGAGAGCTGCACAAGTAACGTTAGTTTATCGGTAGTGCGCATGTCCTGCACGGTTTGCCGCCATTCACGGTTTGACGGGGGTTCTCGGTAGTCTGAACTTAACAATCAGCTTTCGTGCTGTTTATCTTGTTCTGGCAGAAACGAGAATCAGCCTGGCGTTCAGTGAAGCAGAAGTGGAGAAGTTGGAGGAAGAGCGGCCGCAACCCGTTTCAAGACTAGTCTTAGCGTCGTGTTTCAATTTAGTCCGCTCTTCTCCTTGTCGCCGCTGCCATCTACCCCGTTTTCTCGGAACATGGTGAAGTGGGTTAGCCTTCCACGCTGTTCCTGCTGCTGTCGTTGTTGTTTCGGTCGTTGTTGTACTCTGCCGCTGAGGTAGTATTTCCTTTTTTTCTTATCTTGGCCTTGTCACAGTTTCATCAATGTCGTCGTAGTTTCGTGTGCTGGAAGATGAAACGACTGTAGTTTGAGTTCTTTCTTCTCCACTTGCTGCAGCTTTCCTGCTCATGCCGTTGTTGTTTTGTTCCAAACGAAGACTGCTGGGTCTTGCTGCTTTCCACTCTGCGGCGGCAGTGCTTATCATCACCATTATAGCAAAAACATTATATACGTGTGCTAACACACTTTCCGTGTGCCTATTCCTATTTATCTGGGTGTTATCTATCAGTGTTTGGTCGTGGAACCTGGCTATATCAAGATAATCCTTTGTTTCTGTGAAGGCGTCTCGTATCCTGCATTGCGTGTTGTTGTTGTTTTTGTTGTTGTTGCTGTTAAGAATGATGTTATGTCTGCTTTTGATATCATCTCATGATAAGAAATATCTAGGTGGCTAGTAGTAGTATTGTGACTGGCTGTCTTTATCATCGCTTTATTCCAATACACCCACGAAACTCAGCCCATGTTTCATGCAAGCATAAAAACTAGTTCCGAAAATCCCTACTATTCTCGTGCCTCTTCTTGTAGTGTGTGTGTGTGTGTGTGTGTGTGTGTGTGTGTGTGTCACAGGACCAGCAGTGGCAGGAGCGCATTTCTTCTGAGGAACTAACCCGTCGTTTTGGTATGCCGTCGTCAATGGCGGAGGTCGTACGCTGTCACCGATTTTGCTGGCTTGGGCGAATGGAGGATTCCCGTCTCCCCAAGCGCGTTCTGTTTGCTGAGTGACTCAACACAAGGCCCAGACACGGTCCCAAGAAACGTTGGAGGGACATCGCCGCTGCTGATCTGAGTGCTCGGTGCGTGACAGGTGCGTCTTGGCGCAGGACAGACGAGACTGGCGCCTCATGTCCAATCGTCCCCGGCCGGCTGTGCCAAAGCCTAGAGTGTTCACTTGGGGCTGTGGCAGGGACTTCCGTCGGCCCAACGATCTAACTCGCCACAGGAAATGCTGCAACTCCTGATGCTATCATTGCACAGAGCAATGGGCATCCAAAGGTGTGTGTGTGTGTGCCACCTTTGTTGGTTCCAGGGTTCATATACTTTCTATGTGAAGTATACTATATTCATGCGATGTAAAACTGCTGTAACAACCATTTTACAGAGCAACCTCTACGGAGGTTGTGATTATATTACGCGAACACCATCACAAACAAATTTCTTCACGGATGAGAGAAGCTAACAATACTATACAAGTACGGTGATCATGAACAAGTCAACACTCTGCTGTATCATGGCCTCCTTCGCAGTAGCACCGACTAATTCGAAAAATGTAGCAAGAAATGTGAAGCAACAACGATCAGACACGGGTTCAGCTCTTCAGGAAACCAAACATGCAGTGCAGGAGGAGAATACGGAAGCATGCAGAAATGCATCAAAACAAGTACACGCCTAAAGGCAAGTTAAATGTTCTGCTTTTCAGTGACAACATGCACAAGCTGAATCTCATCCGACTCTGGATCTCTGCTGCAGCAAGCGCAGCAGCTGCCCATGAAGTAGAATAGACATGCCAGAACCGCAGCTCCTGCCGACGCACAGGAGAGGAAGAAGCCCATTGAATAGCCGTTGGTCCCCGAAGTGTTATCGTTGAAAATCAGCTGGAGGATGTCGTTGTCGTTGACAACCCAGGCGAAACGACCAACAGCTCCGATCATGGCACCGGCTACGCATATCACAAAATCACACAGTGAACCCTTGCATTGGCAAAGAAAGGCCAGCTATAGACATTACATTATCATGATGATTGAATACATGTTGTCCCGAGTGGCACACTCATGCCTGTTGAATGCCACCCAGTGTACACGAGAGCAAGAGCGTGTTATTTGAATGGGTTGCTGTCACGGTGAAATTTCAGGAAATCCAGGAGATCCCGGGACTACACCATTTTAGAACACTAAGAAAGAGCAAAACGTTCAGGTGCTTCAACATCACCATTGCTTTTTCTTAGGGCATGTTCGATTGGTAGGATCGGGATCCCGATCCACCGGATCCACTGGATTCGTACCCTTTCGATTGGTCGAATTCGGATCCGGATCCTTCGGATTTGGATCCGGTCAACCCACCTCGGGGAGCAGGGTTGACCGGATCCAACGGATCCAAATGTGACCTTTGTGCGTATATGGCGGGTAAAAATCATTTTTGTACACATTGTGGTACCCACACGTGGATGGAGATAGAGCTTGTTGACTTTTTGTACGACGCACGCGATGAGTACGGCGTTCACCCTTTTGGGTGACTTGTGACCGCCATTGTCAACATGGCAACAGTCAAGGTCCAAAATAAAGTGTTCAGTTGAATCTGAAGGATCCGACGGATCTGAGATCTGGATTCCGATCCTTACCAATCGAACATGCCCTTAGCGTTCTGTAGCATGTTCTTTCTCGGAGGAAGCCAGCTGCATAAAGGTAATTATAGTATACAGTCAACTTCGCTAATAACGACTGTGAATAGAGAGGTTTTAAAAGATGCACGTTATTTCCGACGTGACGCGCAATTTCACGTCGAACTTGGCGTAAAACTCCAAATTTCGACGTGAGCAGCAGGTCGCTCGCGTTGATTTTTCGACGTGCGAGCAAATAACGCGAGCTGAACTTTCGCGTCACGTCGGAAATAACGTGCATTAACCTCTCTAATATAACGACAATTCGCGAATACCGACAGCATTTCCATGCCCAGAGCAAAGTCCCTTCCAACTGTAATACATATAATGAGACTTCGGGTATAACGACACTTCGCGAATAAGGACACTTTTTTGATGCCCCGCCGAGTGTCGCTATAAGCGAAGTTGACTGTATATTTTTTCTTACAAGCATGCAGGTCGCCTGCTGCACAACGGCAACTCAGTAGTCTGCGGAACACTATGTCCCGCTGCTGTTTCGTAATATGATGTAATCCAGGAACTCCGCCACGCCAGATACTAGTATCCATTTTCTTTTTCCTTTTTTTTTATAGAAAAGAAAAAGGACGAAGGAACTACAAGTTGCGGTATAATTCTACGTCGGTCAGTGTCGTGCAATGTTATCGCATGAGCTGATTGTTTAGTAGCTGGTGGTGTTAGTGGACATTATAGCGTAACTTGTAATTCCTTGGTCCTTCTTCTTGTCTATAAATTAATCCTTGGCTCTCCATCCACTTCCTTGTATCGGCTATTTTTATTATGTCCCATGAAGCGCAGACAGTAAATAAATATTCCATGCAGGTAAGTCAGGAGCTGGCAGCCTGCACACTCTGTTAGTGCACTCATGCTGCTGCCACACGATGTAAAGGGCTTCAGATGATGCCCGTTGAACACATCTACAGCTAAACCGACAAGCACGAGTCTGACTGTAATTAATATTTGTTTCTAATGTCCTTGTAATCATTGTCAGAACTACTTCATGACGAAGAAAATGCAAGCTCTCAGCCAGTATCCAACCACTCCAAGACACATCAATGCATTCCAGCTGTCAAGTCAATCCATTTTTCGTTCAGGTGTGTGTGTGTGGGGGGGGGGGGGGTCCTAACTAAAACTTTTTCGTTTCGTGAAAATCCTCGATAATGCCGGATGGCCCCTTAGTCCACGCATACGCTTTAAACTATGCTGGACATGGGTATACACAATGTCCTGTTGTGGACATGGAAATCCGGTCGCACGTCTAGCGGCTCCAGGGCGCTGGTCATGCAGCCGTGGATAAGCGGTACGAGTACACGCATGCATTTTTATGCGCTGCAGCGCGCTGAGTCGCATCGGATCAACATGTGCACTGCACGCGCTGAGGGTGCCGGCCGCGGTCAATCGAGTGGATTTCCATGTCCGCTACAGTACTACAAAGCTTTGGGACAGCTCAAGGCAGATTGCCGGCCAGAAAAGAAGCATCAAATGCAGTAAAAAAGGTAAAAGTAATGAGCCCCAGTACTGGCCCTCTTACCTTGCAGAAGTGTCAAGAAACCAGTTGCTATCAGAACGCCAAACGAACCGAATGCGCCAATTCCGAACACGCCTGCCAGAGCGCCTGCACTCAGACTGCCCAGACTCATGCCTTTGACTTCGGTGAGCGTACCCAGCCCTAGATGTGTGTGTTTGCATGGAAAAATTTGGAATACACATCACACGCCGGTCATGTACATGCAAGCATGCACAGACATACAGACAGACACGCACACACACGCACACCAATACACAGATTTGCACACCGCACACACACGTGTCCGCAAACAGGATTACATGCACCGGGAAATATCATCGGGGGGGGGGGGGGGGGGGGGGGGACGGCCGCATATATGGAGGATGGCAGATGCATGTCATCCATGGTCATTATGTGCATGTGGAACCTACAGTCCATTCAGAAAAAGATGAGCTCTGGCTCTGGACAGCTGCCGTGTTTGGTGATTTTGTGGTACACTGTGCAGTGCCGCGCGCTTCGAAACTTGAAAAAGGGTCCAAAAAAGTCACCTCAAGTGGGGTTCGAACCGCAAATGTACTGTTATGCAAGTGGAGTGAACAGCCTGGATTTTCGTAGTTTTCCCCAATTCAGTGCTTTGGGGGCAAAATCTGGCCGAAATCCTATTCTTGTTATGGCTTGGTTTTTGGAGAAATAGACTTCAAAAACACAATTGGAAGAGCATTCCGTGGGGGATTGCCAAAAAATTGTGACGAAAACTCAAAATTTGACCGTTTATGGCCAACAGCTAGGATATCATCTTTTTTCTGAATGGACTGTAGGTCAAACATTTTAGGGGTGCATGTGCCCCCCCCCCCCCCTGCCCCATGCGGGCTATGCACCTGTCCAGTGAATCCTCTGAGCAGACCGACTGTGCTATGTGACTTGCTCTACTCACTCTCCATAATAGAGAGGTTCCGGGGTACCATTTTCCGTGCCAAAATCCGTATGGGCTCTACGGATTTTTTGAGGCGTGCTCCATACGATTTTTCGGCACGGAGAATCCGTGTGGACTGGCTTTCATACGAACCATGTTTCGTATGGAGATTTCGCGTCATCGGGTGCAGAAAGATTCTTCGCGTACAAATTTGGTACGAGGAACATCGATTTTCGGCGGGTAGTTTTGATTTCGGTACAAATTTTCAAAAGAAAAAGGCATAGCGCGGGAATGTGACGTGTTCGCGATCGTAACCTAGGCAATGAGGGCAAACACATAAGTTCCGCACTCCGGAACATTTCACTGCTCGAAAACGACATTTATTTATTTATTTATTTATTGCAGCATCTCATAGCACAGTGAGAACACCGGCCAATACAAAGAGAGAGGGTGTTAGCCAACCACGGCAAGGAAGGGAGAAGGGGAGGAGAAGAAAAAAGGAACCGGCATGGATAAGTAGTGATTGCAACAAAATGAGAAACACAAAATCAAAGTCAAGGCGCGACAAGGCTCTTAAAAAGGCGGAGGGAAGAAAGGTCCTTAGCTTCTTGGGGAAGTGCCAGCCACGCAGAGTACGCAGTGAAAAGGGGAGAGTGAAGTAGAAAGGAGGACTTGGGTTTCGGAAGGGAAAGGGAGTTTCTCGTGCTACGGGAAGAAAACCAGTTGAAACAGTGGAGGTGAGGTGGACACAGATTGAGTTTGAGAGAATGGATAAGGGTGACAAGATGTGAATTACGTCTCTTAGACAAAGGGGTAGTGTGAGCAAGGGCATAAAGGGTGGAAGATGGGAGCATGCGGGGTTTCCGGAGGAGGATTTTTAGAACTTTTTTGTGCTGAATTTCGAGCTTTTCAGCACGGGTTGTGGAAATTCCAGCCCAAGCAGTATCTGCATAATCAAAAATGGGGCGTATGTAAGCTGAGTAAAAGAGGAGTTTACAAGAGATTGGGAGATGGTAACAGTGAGAAGAGAGGATTCCTAAAGATGAACTTGATCGTTTACATAATTTTGTAATCGATGTGGGGTTCCCATGAAAGATTAGAGTCAATGAAAATGCCAAGATGCTTATGGCTGGAGACTATGTCTATAGGCTGGGGGAAAGTGGGATGGAGGAGGGGCGGAACATCAGGCTGAGAAGGAAAGAGCATGATTTTAGTTTTAGACAGATTGGGCGATAACCGCCAAGACGACATCCAGGAAATTACTCTTTGAATCCCGTTAGCTTGGTTACTCATCAGGCCAGTGATGTTAGGAGATGCCCGTAGGAGCGTTGTGTCGTCTGCGAATAGTGATGTGCCCGGGGCAGCTGCGGGCAGATCATTGACGTATAAGATAAAAAGAAGGGGGCCGAGGATGGAACCCTGGGGAACTCCGGATAGTACTGTTGTGTCGGCTGAGGACGTCCCATGTACCGTGACGTACTGCGTTCGCCCAGTTAGGTAAGATGTCAGCCATAGCAGGGGATTGCCGTCTACAGTAAACGATCCACGAAGCTTGGCCAAGAGCCCCCGGTGCCAGACGGTATCGAAGGCCTTGGCAAGATCGAAAAAACAGATCCCGACTAAGTCTCCAGCATCCCGATGTCGACACACTAATTGCACCAGGCGCGTCAGCTGGAGGGTGGTAGAATCGCCTCTGCGAAATCCGGACTGAGCTGAACTCAAACGTGACGAGACATGACAGTACAATTGGTCGTAGAAAACGCGCTCACAGAGTTTGGAAACACAGGACAGTAGAGATATCGGACGGTAGTTTGATGCTTCGTGGCGGGACCCTTTCTTGTAGATCGGTATAACATTAGCTGTTTTCCATGCAGAGGGAAAACGACCAGTGCGGAATGATAGGTTGAAAATCAGACATAAGGGGTATGCTATTGAGGGCGCAAGGGACTTTAATACCAGATTAGTGATGCCGTCTGGGCCTGGCGCCTTGTCAGACGGGAGCTTTCGAATGTAACGTCGGATGGCAGCAGTCGTAGTAAAGACAGATGTGAGGCGGTCAGCCTCACCCGACTCCTGGGCAATGGGGGGAATGGGTAGAGAAGGGTCATCAGGCACGGCCACTGAGGCGAACTGAGAGTTCAATGCAGTGGCTTTAGCTGAAGAGGTAGTAGCCTGCTGTGTAGAACTAATGGTGAGTGTCGGGATGTCACGAGATACTTTATGATTTTTTAATTTGCTCACGAACTGAAACAGTGATGGGACATATAAAAAATCCGTAGCGCCTCTACGGATTTTGGCACGAAAAATCGTACTCCTGAACCTCCCTAATTATGTACAGTGAAACATGTCTAAGGCGACCCCTCAAGGGACAAGAAAAGTGGTCGCCGTGGCCAGGTGGTCTTCTTATCCAGGTTCAGCGGGTCACGTGACTATATCCACATGTGATACATCATTTTGATCAGTGCATCACAGCCTATGCATAGCGCTACTCTAGCACGACTCATGTACCTGGGGTCCTCAGACCTGTCAAATGCCGTGCATGCACCATGTACATGTACATCTACACTTCCTGCACTGATGTGTAGATCTACCATGCATGCCTGGTGCACCATGCAAAGCGTACATTTACATGACTAGCACTGTGCAACGCGGTCGCGGGTGGGTGGTCGTTGGTGGCGTTGGTCGCCTTATCAGAGGTGTTTTGAACGTGAATGCGTCCGTGACAAGGAAAAGCGGTCGCCATGGTCGATTGGTCGCCATTACAGGTTTTACTGTACAATATAGATCTACAAACAGGACAAACAGGACAGTGCAGAGGCACATGTACATGTACATGCAAGCAGTTACTGATCGGGGTGTGCAATGCATTTTCTGCTCAGGTCGCTATGACTATGACACTAGGTTCAGGGCAGGCCAAGGCAAGGGTTAGGACACACATGGCAGGGCCAATGCCACTGGTATAGCGAGTGTGGCCATGTCTGCACCAGTTTTTTACCAATTCCAGCGTTCATGGAATGTCCAGCATTGAAATGATTTATGCGGAAATGCTATCACCGCTGGGTAGTTAGTAGCTACTAGTCTCGTGTAGATCTACTCCTCGCTAACGTCTCTTCCTCCGAAACTGTTCTTCCCGTCCAGTGAGGACTTGTGTGCTGTCTGTTTGCTAGCAGGATGTGTGCCCCGGGCTGAAACAACCAGATACGATCATGATGTAGCATCATAGATCAGCTAGAGTACAGGTCTATCCTCCCCGGTGACGATACTGAAAAATAATAATTGGGTTCAGGGTAATGATCGGCCCTGGGGGCCGTACCACATTTCAGGAGCTGGCTCGGGGCCTGCATGGCAAAACACTTACATCGCAGTGTTGTCGACGAGTTGCAGGTCTTGAGGGTCAAGGTTTCTTCACCGTTTAGTGCAGCCACCTTACCACACGTTTTCCAAAGGCCTATTTGGACAGTGAGCTTCACAGGGACTAAGTAGTCCGTTCTATCCGTACTCGAGAATTCTACCCAGTTGTTGAGAAGCTGACTTGCGATGCCGCAGCCTAGGGCCGTACAGATAAGGAAGACACCAACCCCGGCCAAACAGCGGGAGCTGCTATTGATATGCACCATGCCTGGTTGAAGCAAGAGCTACGCGCTGCCTGAGTCTAGTTCGAGGTTCTTGCGCGGAAATGAAGCAGAAGCCTAACGAACAACAGAAAAGACGCTCAGTGCAGTTTCTACGCTTGTGCGCTGGACCACGCGGACCAGGAAAATGGGGAGAAATGCCGCACAGCGCCTAACGATTTTACGTCTACGACGGACGCCGGTGTAGGTCTACTTGAGTCTTGACTGTGTTGCCAAGCCATGAACCGGCGCAGATCGGCCGGACTTCAGTTTTGGCCTATCCGGTGCGGATTTCAAGCCACGTGGTCACCGGCATGCGGACCCTGACCAACTCCATGCACGACACAATCAGTCTCTGTTCTGGCTACATGTGGCCGCACTCCACCAGTCTACGAGAACTCAGAAGGATCTTCTCGTCGGTGTGTAGTGTGGACCACATCGCGATGTCCATGGCATGGTGTTAGAGCTAGAGAGGACGCAAAATTGAGGTACTAAGTAACGTGGCAACCGTGACTTAGCCGGTGACAATTTGGACAGTGGTGGCTGGTGGCTACCAAGGTGTCATCAATGGTCATCCTCGTGTCACTTGCACCAGATCCTAGACAAGGGGGTCGCGTGGACCAAGGCCGAATCAGTGGACAATGGCATGCGCGGGGTAGACTCTACACTGTGCGCAAATACGCATGCTAACATGCCCCTGACATAACACAACTGACATAACAATCATGTCGTGTGATAAGTATTCAGGGTTTCGAACTTTCGAAAGCAGACTGGATGATGGATTTAGTGTTAGTCTCTCGCTCTCTACTGCTACATGTACCATGTCGCTTGTCAGGACTAACGTTACTTGCTAGATCTCCCAGTACCACCGGCATTGTAGTCTCTGCGGCATATTATGCTCCTCAGGGAGTCGTAAAAGGCTTTTACAGTTTTACGACTCCCTGATGCGCCTGTATGCTCGGATCCGACTTCTACATGCATAGGAGGTCGAAAACAAACTCTGCTCGCGATCGGCTCGTTGCGCGTTACGATAAGCGTTCGTATGTGTTGTATGATTGAGTACCTGCCCATGAAGACAGCAGACGTATTGGTAAGCCGTAGCAGTTTGAGTTATCGTCGTCACTGTGTGATCTTTGACCAAGTGGGCCAATTCAAACTACTGTAGCTAAGTTCATGTAACTCGGCAACTGCTCCGTGGGAACTGCTCCAGGGAACGCCCTACATAACAGTAGCTTCTTCCGTGTCGCAGCGTGTCACTGTCAGCAGCGCAGCATTCACGATTCCTGCGCTTCGAAATCTTTGCGGTGCGCACACTGACGTACAAGGGAGACACCTGTCAGAAGTGTAGTTGTCAGTAGCTTGCCTTCACTTCACTCTTCAGGCTTCAGCACTAGCACTGTTCATCGCGGCCTGGCACGCGCATACACCAGGCGCACTACTAGTCACATGGCAAACATTGTTTTTGACACTTGTTTTTGACACTTTTCACCATAGGAAAAAAGATGTCTGCTCCTTACACCGCGTACCGGAGCTCCCACTATCTCGTAGAGTCTACACCTTGGTGAAAACCCCATATGGATATGGCCATACCAAGGCCGCATAAGTCTGACGTAACTGTTATGTCTTGGCGCAGCCTCGTGCACCATGTTGCATGTAACAACGGCGTTACGTGCATGACGCCATGATCATAATAATTATTATTATGAGTCATGACTTTCAAGAAAAAACCCACCCCTAGGCCTTATATTATTTTAAGTTCTAGTTATGCCTGCTTGTATGGTGCCTACATTATAATTATGTCAGAGAGCCAGGTCTGTGTCGGCGTCTAGGAGACGACCGATCAGCGACGCTCTCGATACGGCCCTCTGGCTAACCAGTCGGGCACTAACAGTAACTCGCCATCAGGCCCTACGTACATGTACCTGCCGTCCAAAATAATTATTATTATTAACATTTATTTTTAAATCATTCCGACAACACATGGCTCAGATCAGAGCGCCGGTCACCACATCATGCGTCAATGGTGAGTATGCCTTTCCCAAATCGACCGGCCGAAAAGTACCCTTTTCAGAAAATCGCTTATAGAGAGAACAAATTCTGCTGTCATCGCCACACTACAACAAAGTCATGAAGGTTTACCAAAATCGATTTTCTTGTCACAATCATCAGTGGAAAGCCGTGACTGAAGAATAACCATGCCAAATCAATAATTTATCTACATTCAATAATGTGTTACGAGAACAAAACAAAGTGCTACAAATAGAATGAGGGAAGGTGAGACAATAGAAGTAAAGTGAGAGCTAAGTGCAACAGGGGTGAGGAACTAATTGCAACGCTAGAACTATGTAGTGAGACAAACAATCATGCTGTGCACCTACGAAAACAATCTTAACGCAACTACATGTTTCTTCTGCTTACAAAGATCAGGCTTATGCAAACGAATACAAACAGCCTCAAGTACTTTCAACTGACTAGCGTACCGTGCACGACAAAGAACAGAAAAACTAAAATCATCATACACCTGCAGACACTTAGGGTGAGTAAGTAAGTCCAACTCGGTCCGGTATCTACTCATGACAACACAGTTCGGGTAGAGAAAAAGTTGAATAGTTTTCTCAAGAGACTTAAAGAAAGTAAACAGATATCGGAGGAAGAGTTCTTCAAAATGCGGCCCATTGGTTCCGTCCGACCACGTCTCTATGGGCTCCCAAAAATACATAAAGCGAACTGTCCGTTGCGCCCCATATTATCCATGGTCGCATCACCGCAATATAATATCTCTAAATGGCTGTGTGGTTGGCTTGACATCGTGCAAAAGTTCTATTGCAAACATACAGTTAAAGACACCTTCGAATTCATTGACGTCCTTCGCTCCCACCCAGTTCCGGCCTCCGCGCATATGTGCTCGTTTGATGTTGTGAGTCTATTCACGAACGTTCCGTTAGAAGAGACTATCAATATTTGCCTAGATGTGTTGTACCGCAATGATGAAGTTGATACGCCGTGGATATCGGAGACGGCATTCCGGGAACTGATGTTGCTCGTGACGACTGGTGTGGAGTTTTCCTTCAGTGACATTATGTATAGGCAGGTTGATGGGGTAGCCATGGGCTCCCCATTAGGTCCAGTATTAGCGAATGTGTTCGTTGGTTACTGCGAGTCGCTGATTGCAGAACAGTTGTGGCCAGCATTGTACGTTCGTTTTGTTGATGATTCCTTCACCTGGTTCGATTCTCTTGAAGATAGCCAAATCTTTCTTGGTATTCTAAATGACCTACATCCTTCCATACGCTTTACTTGTGAGCACGAACAAGCGAACAAACTTCCCTTTCTAGACGTCCTTGTGGAAAAGTCTAGTCAGGGTACAGTAACATCTGTGTACAGAAAGCCTACATTCACCGGCCAGTACATAATGTTTGACTCGTATTGTTCGTACCAATACAAGGTGAATTTAGTGCGTAACTTGGTGGATCGAGCAAACCGTATTTGCTCCTCTTCCAAACTGGCTGAGGAACTGGAATTCCTAAAGTCAGTTTTTCTAAAGAACGGGTATCCCGACGATCTCTTGAAGGAGCTCATGAGCGAAAGGCTGCATAGAAAGGAAATACGTTTTGGCCCGGACAAATGTCCCACGTATCTTTCTCTCCCTTGGAAAGGTAACCTCTCATTATCCATGAGTCGCGTGGTCCGCAAAATTGTACAACAAACGTACGCGGTACATTTTGTACCGGTTTTCACAACTGTACGTGCGTTCACGGTGAGGAAGGATGTCCTACCACCCAACTCGCATCTAAATTGGTATACCAATTTGAGTGCCGACAATGCGGTAGTCGGTACGTTGGTAGGACTCTTCAACATCTGAACGCACGTATCAAGCAGCACGTCCCACTGCACATGCTGACTGGCTCGGCACGGGCACTGCGACCCAAACGCGGCAGGCCACCTAAGAACCCTCGATCAGAGCCATCGTTAGCACAATTGCCGTCGACGGCAATAGTGCCTCCATTACCCGTATCGAGAGCCGTGGAGATGGATAATGTGCACATTGTCACTAACGTTATTGTATTGTATTGTATTGTATTGTATTTATTTAAAAGGATTCTCCAAAAGCAAATGGATGCTTATCACGGAAGTCTCCCACATAAATATCGCAAGAAAAAAATGGGGAAATGGGGGAGAGGAGAGTGGAAGATGAAGCATGGGATGAAGGGAAACAAGTACCTAAATATCGAGGTATAAAAGCAGGAAAGAAATCGACGAGGGAAGAAATCACCTCTGCAGATAATAGCGGGACATTTAGATGAAAAAAACCCAGCAAGGATTAATTTTTAAAAGGAAAAAAATTCTCAAACGGAAAAGTTCGGAATTCCAGTCAGAGAATATCTATGCTGTGAGTAATGAGCCTTTAGAGCAATGCGAAAATTGACAGAGGACTGAACGCAGCGGATGTGTTCTGGAAGTTTGTTCCATTCCACAGATAAACTGAAGAGAGGGGATTTAAGGAAATGGGCGCCAGAACGAGGTAAAACTATAGAGGACGGGTGACGACAACTAAGGGATACATTGAATTTGAAACGAATTAGCAAAGACGGAAACTGGTAAAAGACATGATGAAAATACAGCAAGGACAGAATCTGACGACGCCACTTCAGGGATGACCAGTCACAAGTACGATTAAGAATCTGCTTCGGGGTTTCCCACTCAGGAGGGTGCCGGGTCTTACAAAGCAGATATGAACGAGCAGCAACGGCTTGCAGTCGGTCTAACGTAAGCGAATCTGAATGGGATACGGCGAATGACCAGACAGGGACTGCGTATTCTAACAGTGGTCGTACGTAACACTTGTAGAGCAAATTCACGGTTGAAGCAGAAAGGAAATGGGCCATATGGCGCAACAGAAAAACACGACTGCGAAACTTATGGGTGATAGATTTTATATGGTCAGAAAAATTTAGTGAAGGAGTGATAGTCACGCCGAGATGACAGTGGCTATCACCTTTCTGAATAGGCACACCGTTCATTGTCAAGGGGGATGACGGGCCGGGGGCTAATGCATATTTTTGAAAGGGTAGGTGGACGCATTTACTGGTGTTAAACGTCATGGCAGTAGCTGATGACCATTGACAACACTTATCAATGTCAGTCTGGAGCAATGCATGATGGATAGGAAGTGAGGTGTTTGCTGGAGAAACAAGAATTAAATTAGAGTCATCAGCAAAAAGGGATAGGGTACTAGAAGCAGGGGCATCAGGAAAGGAGTTGATGCACAGG